CAAAATGTTATTTGCAGGTGATATGATTCTCTATGACTCCAAGAACCCCACCAGAAAACTCTTAGATCTAATAAATACTTTCAGAAAAGTAGCAGGATACAAAAGCAATGTACAAAAGTTGCTTGCCTTCTTGTAACCACCAATAAACATGTTACTGGTAATGAAATCAAGGGGGGAAAATCCATTCACAACTGCCTCAAAAAAATTAAATACCTTAGAATAAGCTTACCCAAAGAAGTGGAAGATGTCTGCAGTGAAAAGTGGAAAATACTGAAGAAGAAACTGAGGGAGACACTAGGAGATGGGAAGACCTCCCACACTCACAGATCAGGAGAATTAACACTGTGAAAATAGCTATACACTCAAAAGCAGTCTATAAATTCAGTGTAATCCCAATCAAAATTCCAGTATCATCCTTCATAGAATTAATAATAAAATATTAAATATCAAACCTATAGAGCTGTAGCCACTTGATGTTTTACAAAGATGCTAAAAATACACATTAGCGAAAAAACTACTTACTAAACAAATGATGCTGGGCAAACAGGATTTCCACCTATGAAAGAATGAAACTAAGTATCTCTCACCACATATGAAATCCAACTCCAAATAGATAAAGACTTTAATGTTAGACTCTGAAACTATTAAAGGAAAAGGTAGGAAAAGCATTTTATGATGTCAGCAAAAGTACACACATTCTGAAAAGTCCAGTTGCTCATGAAATTATGCTCATGAAATAAATAATTGATACAGAGGAAACAATCAAAAGATGCAGCTTACAGAATGGGAAATTTTTGCTAGCTGTATACCTGACCAGATTAATAGCTAGAACATATAAAGAACTTAATCCAATTCTTTGGAACAAGCCATTCAGCAAATGGGCTAATGAAATGAGTAGTTTTCAGAAAAGTACAAATGTTTAATAAACATAGGAAAAGTGTACAGTACTAGCCATCAGAGAATTGCAAATAAAACTACGTTGAGATTTTATCTCACCCCAGTCAGAAAGGCAGTCATTAAGAAAACAACAAGTGGTGGCACTCGCCTTTAATTCCAGTGCTTGGGAGGCAGAGGCAGGCGGATCTCGGTGAGTTCGAGGACAGCCAGGGCTATACAGAGAAACCCTGTCTGAAAAAACCAAAAGAAAAAAAAAGCAAATGCTGGTGGAGATGTGAACAAAGGGGAAACCTTATACTCTGCTGGTGTGAATGGAAGCTAGTCAGCCATTGAACAAATGCCAAGTTAACATATCGGAGAGATAGTTCATAATGGCTGCTCATAATGGCTCTTAATGGAGCAAACCTAAGTGTCTGCCAACAGAGGACTAGATGTTTAAAAGGAGGTATATATACACAGGGTTTTTGTTTTTAGCTATTAAGAAAAATGAAATGTCATTTGAAGAAAAATGGATTCTGCTGGAGATAAATTATATTAAGCAAATTAAGTGACAACAGGTCACTGAAGCCATGTGAAAGAGGATGGATTAGAAATGAATTGCCTAAGAAAATGAGAGATGTATTTTGAATGTGTCTGCATGAATTTTGAAGTAATGGGACGATGGCAGATTATAGCATGAAGAAAAAAGATTCTAAAGTAACCAGAAACTGATATGTGGCAAACGCTAAAGATACTGATATTTATAGATAGTATAGACACCATGGTTAAAGTGGACTAAAGATCTAGATTTGGAATAGAGAAAACAAGTCTCAACCTTCGAGTACCCGAGAAGTGAAAGAACTAAGGGTTTCCACAAAGGATTTTTAAGAGGCAAGAGCTTTCAGGACAGAGCCATGTTTTTTAAGACTGGAGAAAATAAAGTATCAGTGAAGTTGAAGACATAAAGGACTGCATGGAGAGGCATTTTCAGAGGACTAGAAAGCTCCATAGAATGTTGGCAACTGGAATCTAAATAATACCTATATAGTTTATTAAACTTATTTAAAACTATAATAACTTTAAAATCACCCAGCTAAAAAAATGGATGAGGTTTGTACTTAATTCCAGATTTGCCTGGTTCCAGTCATTGATTTTAACCAATATCACGGTGTGGTGTATGGAGTCACCCTAGGGCATAAGTTATTTCCCATTCCCAGGATCATTTTATAATGGATTCTGTTTATCACCTATCTGTATTTGAATTTTCTGTCTTCAGTGATAGAATTGTCAGCAGTTGAGTATGAAATTTCACAAAGTTTATTCTAAATTTTTGTGTAGATTTTTTTGAAAGATTTAGTTTTTTTCTTACACAAAAAAAATCAAGACTAAGTAAAAAAAATTAAAAATTTAAAAATTCTGTCTTTGCACAGTGCTCCTTTGTATTTATTCCCTATAGATTTTTTTGTATGAAATTTTTTGTTGTTTTTCAAGACAGGGTTTTACTGTGTTGTGTAGAACACAGATTTAAAATTCAGAAATCTGCCTGCCTCTGCCTTCTGAGTGCTGGGATTAGAGTTGTACGCCACTACCGCCTGGCTAAGTATGATAAAACTTTAGTGAAAAGCTTTAGAAAACAACAAAAAGAATTTTGACATTTACAAGTACATATTTCAAAGTAATGTTGGCCATATTTACTTTGGACAATAGGAAAGCACTATTATTTCATTCTTTTCTCAATCCTTACTCTAGACAGTTTCTATAAGTTGTGAGTATCATATTAGGAACCCTGATGTTTACTTTATGTTAAGGCTATCATGAACAAACTATTTTGATCAGTTACATAACAAAGAATAATTGTAAAGATGGTGTCTCCTTGTTTTGAAGAATTTTATGAAGAAATATGGATGTGTGTATCAGTTATTTTTCTGTTGGGTAATAAAATGCCATGACCAAGGCAACTTACATAAAGTATATTTTGGCCCCTAGTTCCAGAAGAGTAAGAGTGCATCCTGAGAGCTAACGTCTTCAAATGTAAGCACAAAATAGAAAGAGAAACCTGAAGTGTCAGGCTCCAACAAGGCTGCATCATCTAAACCTCCCCAAACAGCTCCACAAGCTGGGAACCAAGGGTTCAAATATCAGAGTCTATGGGGACGTTTTTCATTCAAATCACAATAATATTTGGGTAGTTTGGTTTGTTAATATACTTAGTTCATGGAGCTAGAGAGATGGCTCAGTGGGTATGAGCACTGACTGCTCTTCCAGGGGACCTGGTTCAGCTCCCAGCACCCACATGGTAGCTAACAACCATCAATAACTCTAATTTCAGGGGATTTCTTCTGGCCTCCATGGGCGCGCGCGCACGCGCACACACACACACACACACACACACACACACACACACACACACACACCACACAGATACACATGTTGGCAAGACACCTGCACATACGAAAAATTTAAAAATATAAAAAATTCTTTAAATAAAAAAATAAGACTAAACTTAGTTTACTTCTTTTCCATTTGTAGGGAAGGTAAGTTGGGTATACAACACAGATTTGGTTGATCAGGAACTACACGTATGAATGTATGTATCAGCATCTTCTGGCATAAATGGCATGATTGATAGTTATCATATGCTTTACAAATGACAAGTTTTGCTTGTCAGTAATACCCTTTACAAATGTAGGTAACAGGCACCTTCTTTGTCTGGTCATGGCTGGGGAATCTCTCCAGAGAAAACACACACACACACACACACACACACACACACACACACACAACTGTGTTAAAGATAAAATTCTGTTTTATTAACCTAAAATCCTGTTTCAACCTAAGGCTGAAAAGTGAAAAGAAATATGACTGAAAGCAATTTGTAAAAATGTGAGGAAAAACTGTCCCCTTAGAGCATTGGTTCTCAACCTGTGGGTCATGACCCTTCTAGGGGTCGAATGACCCTTTCACCGGGGTGGCCTAAGGCCATCAGAAAACACAGTTATTACATTACAGTTCATAACAACAAATTTGCAGTTATGAAGTAGCAATGAAAATAAATGTATGTTTGGGGGTTACCACTGACATAGACCAAAAGCCCCTCCATCCATGCAGCTGTTCATAGACTTGCCAGTGAACCTGTCTGCTTTCTAACTTCAAGCTCAGAAAGTGTTGCTCCCTTTCCCTCCTCTTTCTAGATCCTTCCTCACAGTTGTACAGACAGCATTCTTAGCTGCCTTATTATTCTCTCCAATAAATCATCATCAGATTCCCTTCTGCGCTCCTTCTGAATCCTTTTATCTACAAGGTCAGGACCCTACAAAAGGACCTTTGCATCCTACAGTAACCTGATTAGAGAAACTGCTGTTATTATAATTTATTTAGTGGGTGTCCCACCTCAGCACTTAGCTGATTTCCATCAGTTTAATTAGATATCTATTGCTGTGAACAAATTACTCCAAAATGTAATGGCTTAAAACAACAGTAAGCTTTGTTAGTTTTGATAGTTTTTTTAATGAGTTAGGATCAAGTTAATTAGTAGTTTGAGTCTGGGGTCTCCCATGAAAAAACATAATTGGGGTTTTGCAAGGGGCCACAAAACAAAATGCCATGTTGTATGTGGTTACCTGACACTTCCCAAGGACTCTTGGTCTGTTTTTGTCAACTACTCATTTTGTCTGTCAAGTTGGTGTTGACTGTTGGCAGGAGTCTTCAGTACCTCTCCACATGGGCCTCTCCAGGGTTTTTAAATGTTTCCATGGTATGCTAATTAACTCTCCACAGCATGAGCTATCCAGAATCCCTGTGGGAAGGGAGAGTGTCTCTGTGACTTAGCCTTGAAGTCACCTACTTACAGTCCTACATACCAGGGTGCTCTACCAGTTACAAAATAGTTCAGTTCTGACGTAGTGACTCTGTTCGTAGACCATCAAAGCTGTATCTACCTGGAGACAAGGATCACTGGAGCCATTGTGGAGACAAGCTGCCACAAAAATCTTAGATGAGTTTTAGGAAAATGAAGAGACATAAATCCATGATAAACTGTAGTTATGGATGTTTTTAAGTGGATATCTTGTGCTAGTTTTTAAGCAAATGTTAGAAGCAGAAACCATGGTGTTTTTTTTTTCCAGATTATTTAGAACATGTGACAATATACATGAATGTGATTATGCTAATGAAAATATAAACTTGGATTCTCATATTAGCCCAGTGAAACTAGCCCAAACAAAAATAAACAAAGAGAAATCATGGAACAGTAGCAATAGTAAGCAGAAACTTCAATATTCTACAAATAAATTGAAAGCAAATGATGCTTTTTCTGCTTCTGAAATTGGAGAAAACATATTCAAAGCACCATCCTTTTCCGTTGCATCTCAGCCTCATGACATTCAAGGTAATTTCTTATTCAGTTGCTTTTTGTGAAAATACAAACTAATTTGCATTTATTAGCATAATGGAGAATACAAAATAGAGTAAGTTCTCTCTCCATGTAGAATTGATGCATTTATTATGTTGCATTGTTTTGTAGCTGTATCTTTATATCTTAACTTCTCAGTAAAATGTTATACAAAATTTATTGGAGCTGTTTTATGGAAATGGTTTAAAATATCCATATAAATATGTAGTATCTTTTGTTTTTAGGTATAACCCCAAATGGCTTGGGTTCCTTGAAGGCTGTCACAGAAATCCGTATCCTTCATTTTTATGAAATTATATATTTAAAATGTTTTGTTTCAGTCGACTCCTGTGTGTTTATTTTAGTTAGCATAGAAAAAGATGGAAAAGTAAATCTTTTGGGTCATGTTAAGAGATACATTGTATGATAGTCAGTGCTACTTCAAGTGTGGTCTGCAGGCTGGTCCAGTTTGAGAATTATTTCAGTCTGACAATTTAAACACAGAAATTTACTTACGTATAAAAAATTTCTTTTGGTGGAATAAAAATAGAGATATTGGATTAAATCAAATAGGAGAACTCAAAGCAAATGGGACATTTTGTGGATTTGAGGACATTTTTACTGTTTTAGAAGAAACTTCATTTGAGGGTTATGAATGGGCTGGGCAGTGGTGGCGCACACCTTTAATACCAGCACTAGGGAGGCAGAGCCAGGTGGATCTCTGTGAGTTCAAGGCCAGCCTGGTCTACAGAAGGAGATCCAGGACAGGCACCAAAACTACATGGATTAACCTGTCTCGAAAAACCAAAAAAAAAAAAAAAAAAAAAAAGAAAAAAAAAAGAAATGAATAGTCAAATTTGCATGTTTGAAGTATTTCTGATGTAAATACTTGAGTGTATTCAGAATATTCTGGTGGTAATATCCCTTTTACATCTGAAAAGCAGAAAGTGAATTTCAGATACTGAGCAGTGTCTTGGTTGCTTTTCTATTGCTGTGATAAAACACCGTGACCAAAGCAGTTTATAAAAGAAAGCGTTTAATTGGGCTTCCAGCTTCAGAGGGCTAAGAGTCCATCATGTCAGGGCAGAGTGGCAAAAAGCAGCAGGCATGTTGGTTGAAGCATCTGAGAGCTCACATCTGGATCAGCATGTGGAAGGCAGAGAGAGAGCCTGAGAATGGCTAGCGCCCACTCCCAGTGACACATCTGCTCTAACAAGGCCACACCACCTAATCCTTCCTAAACAGTTCCACAAACAGGGAACAGATCTCAGAATCCAGTAAAAGCTGGATTGGCACAGCAGCCTGTCATGGAACTAGAGAGGTGGAGACAGAATCACCAGAGCAAGCTGACTGGCTAGAATAGCCTGGAACAGCAAGCTCTAGTTTTAGCAAGAGAGCCTGCCTCAATGTATGAAGTAGAGAGCTAAGAAAAAGCACCTGCGGTCCACTTCTGGGGTGCCACATTGTGGTGGTTTGAAAGAAAATGGCCCCCAAAGGGAGTGGCACTAGTAGAAGGTATGGCTTTATTGAAAGAAGTGTGTCACTGTGGGGGTGGGCTTTGAGGTCTCCCATGCTCAAGCTGCTCCCAGTGTCACAGGTCACTTCCTGTTGCCTGTGGAACAAGATGTAAGGACTCTCAGCTCCAGTACCATGTCTGCCTGCACGCCGCCATGTCGCACCATGATGATAATGGACAGAACCTCTGAAAATGTAAGCCACCCCAATTAAATGTTTTTCCTTTATAAGAGTTGCTATGGCCATGGTGTCTCTTCACAGCAATAGAAACCCTAACTAAGACACACGTATGTATTTGCACCAGTAGAAAGGGAACATAAACAGTTTAGTAGTAGGCAATTAACTATTGTCTAGTTAGACCTAAATATCCCATCTCTGAGGACTAACTTTCATAGTACCAGAAAGTACATGCAAGCTTCCAAAAGAGGGAGCAACCAACTGATCAGCTATGATGTCTATGAACCACATCAATAAGCAGCATGGTACAATAATCATAAGGGTGCAGTAATGGCACATGTACCTTGGTGGTACCCAACAGCTCTCTAATTGGACTGAAGACCTACTCAATAAGAGGGAGACCATGCTGGTACTGGAAATTTAGCTCCCAGCTCAGTGTTAGTGAAGTCGTGGATCTCAGAGAAGAACCTGCAGCCATCACTTTACCAAACCAGCATGATCCCTGAGACTCAAAGAGTATTGTGGAATAGGAGGCATTAAAATTGTAAGAGCCAGAGGACCAGGGAGTTTCCTGTGCGAGTGTGACTCCTATTAACATTGGAAACTATACTCATGAAGTTTGGGGAACATGACCACCCAAACATGAGCTGAACAAGGATGGCACCAATGGACATGGCAAAGTGGACAGGGAAAAGTCCAGGAAACCTCAACCCTACCCAAAGAACTATAGGCAACTGAGGAAAGCTGGGAGTAGGAGAGGTGGTCTCTCCCCTTGGTTGTTCAGTGCCAAACAGCCCTGAAAACATACATATAAATAACATTATACAGACTGAGAAGGTTATATTTAGAAAAATATATTATATTATGTTCTATTATTTTCTGTTATGTTCTATTCTATTCTAGTATATATACATGCATATATGCATACAATAACATTGAAAAAGAGGCCATGAATTTGAAGGGGGACAGGGAGGGGTATATGAGAGGGTTTAAAGGGAGAAATGTAATTATATCTCAAAAATATAATTAAAATATTGTTTGGTTATTGAAGCATAAATCTAATTAATCTTTGTTTTTTAAAGATTTATTTATTTATTATGTATACAGTGTTCTGTCTGCATATACACCTGCAGGCCAGAAGAGGGCACCAGATCTCTTTATGGATGGTTGTGAGCCACCATGTGGTTGCTGGGAATTGAACTCATGACCTCTGGAAGAACAGCCAGTGCTCTTAACCTCTGAGCCATCTCTCCAGCCCCTAATTAATCTTATTAATAAAAAGTCAGGAGTCAGATATTGGAGTAAAAATCAGAGAGAGATCAGAGAAGCAGGGGAGCAGCCACAGTCACTTCCTACCTTTCCGATTCCTCCCACCAAAAGGGCTGAGATCCTCTCCCAGCCCTGCCTTACCACTTTCTATCTCCTCTCGCTACCGTCCTCCAAACCTCTATGGTCAGTTAGTGACTAGCTCCACCCTCTGACTCTAGGCAAGCTTTATTTGTCAGAACACAATCAAAATATCACACAGCAGGGTATCTGTATGATGGGATGTTCTTCTTTTGTTAGAAAAAATTTCCATAATTTAATACTAGCCTTTGAAAAGTTTTAAAGATTTTTCATGTTACAGCTCCCTTCAGTGTGCTGCACACTTCAGTGGTGCTACAAAGACAGATGTCTATACTTGTATCCATTGGTTTATTTTTTAACAGTTTCATATATTGTCAAATTCACTGACCTGTGTACTTTGTTATTTGAATGTGTTCAAAGTAGAAGACAAGCGTTTGTGGATTGCTTGGACACGGATCCTTGCAGGTCTCTCTCAGTGTGCTTCTCTAACTGAATCTTTAGGACATGACGAGTGCAGTCAGATTGCTGTGGTACTGCCTTCCTCGGTTGTGCAGACGCCCCCAGTGTAGCAGATAAGTGCAGCGGTGCTGCAGGGAGTTCACGGACCAAAAGGAAACTTGACTTCGAGTGTTGACAGTGACCATAGATGATGCAGTTAACGGCGGAGTGTGTCGTGTACTGGGAGACTGACTCTGCCTCTACTCTGAATCAAACACTCGTTTTTGTGAATATAAATTGATGCAGACCTGTCTAATGAGAGAAAAACCAGCATGATAGGCCACTTCTAGGCTTGTTATAAATAAATATTTTATATGGAAAAACATTCCTTGAGGGAAAATGTGGTTCTTTAAAAAGCTGATGGACTCTGACTAACTCTAAATTTTGTTTTTATTTTGTCACATAATTAAAATGTATATTTTAAAGTTTTTATTTTCACTTGTGTGTGTGCTTGTCTGTATGTATTATGACAATATTATGACATGCTGAAAGTCAAATGAAGATTTATAAATTAACCATGTGGTTTAGTAAGTGCAAACGTACATTAAGTTAGGCACTGTTCTGAACTTGTGGAATATGCCAATTAAGAACAGAGGTAGTGAGTCCTTGTCCTTGAGTTACTGCTAATCTTACAATGGAAGATGGGCTGAGGTAGATCTGAACAGTAACTGTAAAAAATGGGTCAGATGATATTTTAGAAGGTGATGGGTACCATGGGGAAAGAAAACATAGAATAGGTAAAAGAGAATTAAATTGAGACTGCTGGAATTGAAGGCTCAAGATACAGAATTCAATAAAGTAAACAGGGCAAACCTTCTTAAGATGTGAGACGTAAGCAATAAGATGGAAGAACAAAGGAGACTTGAGAGGAGAATGAGGCATAGAGGCAGAGGAGAGATGTCAGGGCAGGTCCGTGGCTGACATAGATGTCAGGGCAGGTACATAGCTGACGTTCTGAATAGCAGAGCCCGTTATAACTAGAGGAGAAGAGTTTGAGGTTAAAAGAACAGGATCTGAAATCAGAGCAATAAAGGCTGGTGGAAGATTGGAGGGAGAGTTGGGAGATAGGATGAGGGGCCTTGTAGCCATTTTCTTAAAGGGAAAGGGGGAAATTTAGGCAGAAAAGTCATATAATCCATTTTAAAGTTTTAAAAAGCGTTACTACAACAACCTGTGAGTATTTAAGTACATCATAAAAATAGAGTTTTTAGACAACTGTGTTCTTTCAAATATATATTTTAAAGTTTTTAATAATTTTCATTTGTGTGTATGGGTCTGTACCTGCTTGTCTATATATGCACTACCTGCATGAAGATGACCATGGAATCCAAAAGAGGGCAATGGATCCCCTGGAACTGGATCACAGGTGTTTGTGAGCTACATGATGTTGGTGTTAGGACAGAATTCCAGTTCTCTGCAAGAGCTGCAAGTACTCTTAACTACTGAGCCATTGTTCCTGCCCCTAATAAATCCTAAAGGCCTCACTTGTAGGAACTCATTTTTTTGGAGTGACTTAGATCTAGTAATAAATTTGCATATGGCGCTAATAAATGTAGTTGACCAATTGCAACTTCCTAAGAAGAGTGCTGTTAATATTCCTGAATCTGGCAATAGAGTCTCACTTTAGAGAATGGGGTGATTTACTATCCTATTAATATTTTTAAACTTTCTAACAGGGGAAGTATAATCCAAGTTCATTTTACTGAGCAAATATGCTGATAATTAAACAACACAAATAATATTAAAAATGCAGAGATTCAAGATTAACTGACCAGAAACACTTCTATTAATGAAATGAATCAGTCAAAATCAGTTAATAAGTGAAAATTTGAAAATTAAAGACAATATAAAAATGTCTTAGTCAAGACAAGTAAGAAAAACAGACTAAAAATAGCTCTTAGGCATGTCTCTATATATTCAGATCTCCTTCATCATATTTAACTCACAAGTTATATTCCTTATGTAACCTTTTGTTTTCCCACAGGGATTTTAATCACTTATTTTTAGAATAAGGAATGTGGAAGCAGAGTAGAATTATTTCCATTATCTTTTTTTATTAAAAAATCGTATTTTATTTGTATGTGTGTTTTGCCTGCATGTGTGTATGTTGTACCACATGTATACCTGGTGCCTGACAATGTCAGGAGAAGACATCAGATTCTGTGTACCTTGTATGAACCACCATGTAGGTGCTAGGATTCAAACCCAGGTTCTCTGCAAGAACAAGTGTTCTTAACTGCCTGGTCATCCCTCCAGCTCCCTTCCATTAAATCTTAGATGCTAAAATAGCAAATGTTACAGCCTTATCATTGGATACTGTGAGAGTCAATAGAATTAAAACTGAATTTTTAAATTAAAAGTAAACATTTTTTTAAAATTCTGAAACATTTAACTCCTTAATGTTATTCTAAGCGGCAAAATTTAGAAGTATATTCAAAGAATTCCCTTACTTCAACTACATACAATCCAAAGCCTTTGATGATGTAAGTATCTTATAATTATTTACTTACCTTTCTTTTCTCAATAACTGTGGCTCTCTGAGGAGAGTGAATTGTCACTACCACATTTAATTAATAGTGCATTTTAGGAGATTAGAGAATACTTGTTAAATGAGTGCATTTGAGTCACATAGGTGGATTGGCTTGTATTTATTAAATTTATAAGAATTTCTCTTAAGGGTAAAGGATAATTTTCTCTTAGGTCCAGCATTCATTTTGACAAAATAGTATGATATGACAAAATGTGTTGTTACTCAGGTTGAAATGTCTAGAGCAGGACTGCACTTAGGAATTATAGAGGTAAACACATTTGAAGCTATATTCCTAATCTTCTTAAAGTACATTTTCTAGAAAATTGAGAATGTATGTAAAAATTCTATATATTAATAATCAGTTGACTTTTTATCTCTTAGCTTCTTTACACAGATAGGAATTTTGTGATTTGTGCCCCCACTGGTTCTGGGAAAACTGTAGTGTTTGAACTTGCGATAACAAGATTGTTAATGGAAGTACCATTGCCATGGCTCAACATGAAAATTGTTTACAGTAAGTATATATTGTAAAAATGTTGATTAAGTATAGTCAGAGAGTGAAGCAGACATGAAGTCAATTCAGAGCATAGATTATTACTTGGTAGCTTGGTAGCTCATACATTAAAATATTATTAATTTATTTAGTTGTGGTGCTGTGACTGAACCTATAGACAAGTACTATGCCACCGAGCACTACTAACCTACAGTCTCCTGTTTCTGCTTATGTGTGTATGTGGTGCCAGACACTGAGCTCGGGGAGGGCCTTGCATACACTAGGTGAGAGCTCCACCACTTAGCTGTAACCCTAGCCCTCTGGGCAGTTTAATAAAGACATGCCACAATTGGTTTCATCTGTTACATTAAATTTGAAACACTTTTCCCAGAGTTGTAAATAGAAAATAATATATTTGAATTAAGGATTTGAACTTTACATTAAAAAAAGAGGACAGTCAAAATGAACAAATAATCATATATTTTACAGTTCTAGAATTTTACATAGAAACATCTGTTCTCATTTTTTGGGGATGTGTATTTCATAAAATTCCATGAAGTACTGTATGTACACAGTTTAAAAGAAATGACTAATCACAAAAGACTTCTTATGAAAAATCAATAATCTCTTGTTCCGTCTCTTCCCATGTTTAGATTCCCTGAGCAATCACTTGTGTTTCAGTTTTTAGTTCTTCCTGGTGACCACTTTAATAGCTCACTATGTTTGTGTTTTTAGCTTTCACTTTATCAGTGTTACACAGCAATAAGCATGTGTTTTTAGACTAATTTTATTAACTAGACCTTGAGAAAACAATTTTAAAATTACACTGGTGTTTAAAATAAATATTTTAGTGGCACCAATAAAAGCCCTTTGTAGTCAGCGGTTTGAAGACTGGAAAGAAAAATTTGGACCAATAGGCTTGAGTTGTAAAGAACTTACTGGAGATACAGTAATGGATGACCTATTTGAGATTCAGCATGCCAATATAATTATGACAACTCCAGTAAGTATTATTTATGTTTCTTATTTACTTGAGAATATTTGTTTGTCTTCATTAAGAGAGATCGTTAGAAAAATACAAAGTACAGGCATGTATTTGCAATGTAAACTAATTACCATAAAAGTACTATTATTCAGGATATGGAGAGAATATCCATAGATAAAAAGTGGAAGAGCAATTATCACATATATGAACAGTGAGTAAAACAAACCAGTTTGTAACTGTGGACAATCTATAACCATGTTCCCCTTATAGTCATTTATCCAAGCATATATTATAGAAGTGATGCCTTGATAGGGCTTAGAGGATGTAATCAGTGGGCTGGAGAGGTGGCCCAGTGGTTAAGAGCCTGGGCTACTCTTGTAGAGGGCCTGAGTTTGATTCTCAGCCCCCAGTCTCAGGAGATGTGATGTCCTTCTCTGGTCTTCACGGGCACTGCGTGCAGATGTCGCACAGACACAAGTGCAAGCAGAACGTCCACACACATCAAGCCTGAAGAGTGTGATTAGATTTGACTTGTGATTATTTCAAAGATGAAGACCTTGTGTTTTAGGACTCTTAAAATCATTTAAGTAACTTTTAATCCTCAACTCTTTGGGGAGATTTTAAAGAATCAACTGAAATGTTGCCCTTGTTTGTAATAGGTCTGATAAGGTTTATCAGTATCTTAAACAATGCTTGTGATTCCTTATTAGAATAAACCACTTGCATTTTTTCCTGTAGGAAAAGTGGGACACCATGACTAGGAAGTGGAGAGACAACTCTTTAGTCCAGCTGGTTCGACTGTTTCTCATTGATGAGGTAGTGAACGCATTCACCTTCAGAGACAGACACAAAATGATGTTTAAAATGGATGGAAAGAAATGACATTTTAAGTAAAATAATGTTTTTAGTCTTTCAAATTGGAAAAATGCTTATTTTTCTAAGTAAAAATATTAATGTTGTATATTTTAATTGATTAAATAGATCTTTTCTTTTATAGCTAATGATTCTCTCTTGATTTCTTACCTAGGTGCATATTATAAAAGATGAAAACCGTGGTCCAACTCTTGAGGTTGTAGTTAGCAGAATGAAAACTGTACAGTCTTTATCCAGGGCCTTAAAAAATGCCAGCCCTGTTCCTATGAGATTTGTAGCTGTATCTGCAACAATTCCCAATACTGAGGATGTAAGTCACAATCTTCACTTGTTTAATTTTTTATTATTTATGGACTATTTAGTCCAGATCTCAGAGAAGAAGGCATTTTCTGTCAGTCACTTAATAAATTTAGTGTATGTAGAAAGTTAGTGCTAGATTTCTGCTATTTGCTTTTATCTAAAATTCATAGTTTTCACTTATTTCAGACACTTTGTTACTTGGCTAGTAATGTGTCATGATCATTGGATGAGCTGACTCTTATTTATTGTTTTTTTTGAGACAGAGTTTCTCTATGTAACTGCTCTGGCTGTCCTGTAACTCATTCTGTAGACCAGGCTGGCCTTGGATTCATGGAGCTCTGCCTGCCTCTGCCTCCCCAGTGCTATGTCTAAAGGTGTACCACCACTGGCTAGATGAACTGACTCTTAATTGTATCAGTGTGGTGGAGAAAAAAAAAACAAAACAGTGGCTGGGGTGACCACCCACTTTCCCTCAGTTCTATGTGCCTGTATTGTGGTAAGCACTAGCGACTATTTCTAAAATGCAGATATGTGGACTTGTCCTTAATATAACCATAAAGATGATTTCATGGTTATTGGGGCATGAATGTGTAGGCCGACAGTTGTTTGGAGTATTATACTTTCTATAATAATATATGACTTTTTCTTTAATTCCTAAGCAAACTTCTTTTTCTTTTATTTTATTATCCGATTATGGGTGTTTTGCCTGCATATATGTTTGTACGTGCTTGGTGCTCTTGGAGGTCAGAAGGTGCTAGATCATTTAGAATTGAAGTTACACCAGGCGGTGGTGGTACACGCCTTTAATCCCACACTCGGGAGGCAGAGGCAGGAACTGTGAGTTCCAAGCCAGCCTGGTCCACAGAGTGAGTTCTAGGACAGCTAGGGCTGTTACAATGAGAAACCTGTCTCAGAAAAAAAAAATGAGAACTGGAGTTACAGATGCTTGTGAGTTGTCATGTGGGTGCTGGGAATTGAACTTAGGTCCTTCAGAAGAGCAACCAGTGCTCTTAACCTATGAGCCATCTCTGTAGCCCCTAAGCAAACTTCTTAAAAACAAGTATATAGTCTTATTCTTTCTCACTCCTGTTTACTTGTCAGCCTGTTTATTTGTTTTTTGGTACTACTTAGAAATTATTTTTGTACATAGTTGCTATATTGTCTGTTTCAATAGCAAATTTTGTTTTTATCTCTAAATTTCTTTTAAAAATTACAACTGGTTTTGTTCATGTTCAAGAACAATATAGAATTTTTGCTCTTTAAACATGTAGACAGGGTATAGATGGCAAAAACTCCTGTGCACAGAGACAAGCACTGGAGAAGCTAGGAAAAGTTAAGCACACAGGTTCTCTTCAAAGGAATGAGCTGCTTAGCTGTTTCTCCAGGAATGCTTTAGAAGAATGGAGTTTATAACCTGGTGATCCTTTGTTATCTGTTGAGCCAGGTTCTGCCCATATTCCCCTAGGCCCTTTCCCTCTAAATCTTGAGCATTACTTCTAGGCCATAAAACTCATTCTTATTGAAAAGTTTCTGTACCTCGATATTAAGCCTCTCCACCGATGCAGTAAATCAAATCAGGCCAAATTAATAAGTCCAGGTTTAGTCTGAGCAAAACATTCCCGGGCAGTCCTGGGGAAGAGGAGAAGCCAGGAGGGGAACCACTAGGGGAAGGCTGTAGGGCAGACCTTAAATGCCCTCTGCGGGAGGAGCTGCTGCTTGGTGGGCTTTCTTTGGGTGAGGTCTGGAGAGGGCAGCTCCAGAGAGAAGGGGCAGTGAGACGGGGCTGGGACAGGAGTGCAGAGCTCCCAAACCTGATGAGGGGCTACTCTGGATAAATTTTGTAGCGATTTGGGATCAGCAACGGTTCCCAAGCCTTTTCCAGACCTGAAGTCAAAAGTGCAATGCGTCGGTTGGGATAGGCTTTTGGGCTGTGTAGAGGAAGATCCAAGGCCTGGATGTCCCAGCATCCCAGGCATCCAGGGAGGATCGAATTGAGTGGGAAGGTGGGATGCCCCAGGCACAGCCACGTCTTGACAAGGATACCCCAAAATTGGGAGGAGGAGCGTCCTGGACCCCTAAAGGTAGCGACTTGGAAGGGGCAGCTCTCCAGGCTGAGAGACGATGTAGTCTGGCAGAGAGATGTATAAGTAGTGGAGTGGTTTTCCCATGTGGCCAGGGGCCAGTGCACCAGATGAAAAGTTTCTGTACCTCGACATTAAACCTCTCTGCCAACTTAGTAAATCAGATCAGGTCAAATAAGTCCAGGTTTTATCAGAGCTGGGATTACAGGCCTGCAGCACCAGACCTAACCAGACTCACCCTTTCCTAACAACCCACTCTCAAGAGACTTACTCTGTAAGGCCAGGGTTACTCTCCTCCGGGGCAGCGTCCTCCGTGACATACTCACCTTGCACTAGACTCTGTTCTTTAAAGATTCCCTCCCTGCGTTGTTGCTGCACTGGGGCCAGGTTCTAGCATGTAAACCCTTGGGAGACGTTTACAAAGAACATCTTAGCCATAGCAGCGTGGAATCATACATATTTTTTGTTGTTTTACCTATAAGCATTTCCATGTTATCAAATAGTCTTGACTTTTTGTAGTTTGTTTTTATGTATTTATCTAATCTCATAATATAGTGTTATTTCCATTCCTCTGTTATAAACAGTGCTGAAGTTAATATATCTTGGAGAATATTCATATTCGTTTTCTTAGCATACTATGATAAGTAAGTGAAAGGCTAGTTTAAACCTTCAGGGGACACTGCCTTCAATAAAAGTTATATTCATTTATTTAAGAAATCATTTCTCTATTCCCTGTTAGCAGCCATTTTTTGTATCCTAACATTAGATAACATAATAATGAAATTATTTTTATAGTAATAAATTTTTCTCAAATGTACATACTTATTTTAAAGATTTTTACTTCATTGACTTTTTTTTACTGAGTAAAGTATTTTAATATATTTGTCAACTACATAAAATTTTTTAACCAAGTCAGTGATGCCCTTTTCTTTTTTCATTTTACTAGTTTGTAGCAATTCTTATAAAAATACCATCACATTATTGAAACTTTCTTCAGTTGTGATAATCACTGGATCTGTGAACACTGGCTTCTTTTTGTTTTTCCTTTCCCTCAATATTCCTCTAAAATAATAATCCTTATCCTTGGCCACCCACTCCTCTAGAAATGCAAATTCCTGTGTGTTCGGATCCTGTCCCATAACAATCTTGCAACTATTTCCATATTCCTGCCTGTCCAACAAGAAACCTTCCCCCGACAAGAGGCAGTTTCATGGCAAGGCCTGAAGCCCAGTTACTAACTAGAGCAAGGAAGGATGAGGACCTCTTACCACAGACTCAGGCACTAATTAGTAATTCTAATACTGGGTCTGAATTACTACCATCTCTCAAGAGTTTATTTGGGGTCTGGAGAAATGGGTCAGAGGTTAAGAGCACTTGCTGATCTTCAGAGGACCACGGTTGAGTCATAGCACTCAGGTTGGGAACCTCACTGACTCCAGCTCCAAGGGATATGATGCTTTTTTCTGGCCCCCTCAGGAACCCACACACTCATAGCAGATACACACACACATACACACACACACACACACACACACACACACACACACACACACACACAAATAACGTAATTAAAATGAATTATTTTTACTAAATATTTATTAAATTATTTTTACTATTTATTTTTAACTTACTATTTATTTATTTTTAAAAAGCTTATTTGTTCTTCGGTTAGAAGACCAACATATTTTGGTTGGTAGCTCTGCTACTATGTTGCTAGTGTTTAGGGAAGTGCAAACGTTTCTGTCATTTCCAGGAATAGTTCTGAACAATAACCAGCAATGTGGTGCCATGGGAACTTTGATTTTTATGACCAATTTGATTTTAATTCTAGTTTGGGCTCTAATGGGGCAATGTCAAACAAAATACTAATAACTAGTCAGAACTTTACCATGAGAAAGTGTTTATGGTCTGGAAACACTGCTATTGGTAGCATTTACTAACATATCTATAGAGCAGTGTTGGTAAAATCTGTAATGATGAAAAAGATGCTTTGATTAAATTCTTTCAGAACCTGACTTTGACGTGGTCTAGAATTGTCTTGTTTTAGCTATAGAACTTGACTAGAAAAAGAATGTAATGCACACGCGTCTGTTTTTCTCAGATCGCAGAATGGCTTTCGGATGGCGAGAGACCTGCTGTATGTCTGAAAATGGATGAGAGCCATAGACCTGTGAAACTTCAGAAAGTGGTCCTGGGTTTCCCCTGTAGTAGTAACCAAACGGAATTCAAGTTTGACTTAGCCCTCAACTATAAAGTTTACAGTGTTATACGAACATACTCGGATCAGAAGCCCACACTTGTGGTATGGATTATTAGTTGCTGGTTTGTGTGTGGTGTTCAGTTTTTAACCTGATTGATTTAGAGTTCACTAATTCATTTTCAGTTTTGTGCGACAAGGAAAGGTGTGCAGCAGGCTGCTTCTGTTCTTGTAAAAGATGCTAAATTTATTATCACAGTGGAACAGAAACTGAGGTATGTGCTCTAATTTCTTCTTGAAAGTGGGAGTACTTTTGGGGATCACTTTGGTGAAATGAGAAAGTGGCTCCTCCCTCAACCTTGGCCAGGTTACTTGACAGCTTCAAGCCTAGCTTTTTACCTGTACAATAAAATAGCAGTGGCTTTACGGATTGAGTGAGGAAATGTAAAAGTGGGATTAAAAACAAAAGTGTAGGTACAGGGAGAAGAGGCCATGCGTAGTTGTAAGTAGTTTGGGGCCCTTTGCTTGTTGGGCGTGGACACAGTGACCAAGTTGTGCACTGTCCCCCGTAGTCACAAGTATGACCTGACCACTAAAAACCTTATCTCCTGGCTCGCAGACTAATTCTGAAAGCAGTTTTGGAAGATGTGTGAAATTCTTGTGCTATGGGAGACTCATTTGCATAGACTCTTGTCCTCTCAGGCAAACACTAACTGCTATGGGAGTGAAATACACAGGCGGTAGGCTCCCTTAGTACCAGGTCACATGTCACTTGCCTCCTGTCTGCCTGCTGCACACAGTGGAGTCCTTTATTTCAGATAATCTTTTTCTTGAACAGAAGCGTATGCAGTGTTTTAATTCCTCTTCCCATTCTCATTTCTCATCTCATTCTCTAAGGAAAGTTCCTTTCGATCTTTCCTCCCTTCCTTCCCTCCTTCTTTCCTTCCTTCCTTCGTTCCTTCCTTCCCTCCTTCCTTCCTCCCTCTCTCCCTCCCTCCCTCCCTTCCTCGCTCCCTCCTTCCTTCTTTCCTTCTTTTTTTTTTTTTTTTTTTTTGGTTTTCTGAGACAGGATTTCTCTGTGTAACAGCTCTGGCTGTCCTGGAACTCACTCTGTAGACCAGACTGGCCTTGAACTCGCTGAGATCCTCCTGCCTCTGCCTCCTGAGTGCTGAGACTAAAGGCATGTGCCACCACCCACCCAGCTCCCACCACTTTTTAATCTTTATTCCTTTTTTATAGTTTTGAAGTTTTTTCAGCAATGAAATGCCAGAATTAGAAGTAGTGTGACATTAGAGACAGACTTAAGTCACAGCACTCCACTGTCCACCTGTGTGCCATCGGGCACATTGTTTCTCTCAATTTCAATTTATGTCACTTTCTCTTTTCTTTCCTTTTTGCGTTATTTTTTTTCAGCACTGTAGATGAAGCCTAGGACCTTGTTCATACATGCAAGCAGGCTGTCAGGAGTTATATACTCGGCCTTCCAGCTTCAATGATTTTTTTTTTTTTTGAAACAGAGTCTGAGTAGGCAGCCCTGGCTGCCCTCAAATTTGCAATCTTGCCTCTGCATCCTGAGTGCTGGAATTACAGGTGTATATCACCATTCTTGGCATCAATTAGCTTCAGCATCTTCACTAGGTCTCAGTATGAGAATAAACTACCTTATCATAATTTGATAATCACATAAGGCAGCATTTCTAAAGTTCCTGTGTGTAGACAGTTTATGCCATGTAAGCATGTCTTTTTGCCTACTGTTCATTTTGTTGTGAATCCTTAAAGAGAATTGTGACTATGAGAAAATTATACCTCATAGTTTCATATCTGCAGTTAGAAAATAGAAAACAACAACATGGTTTTTCTTACACATACTTAAGAACCAAGCTTGCCAACTGTCTACATCCCTGAGAGTACCCAGAATTCCTTTCCAAAGTTATCAAAGCTCTTTCAGAACTTCCTTCTCCCTTTTAACTCAGTTTTCTTTACAAAGTAAAAATGTCTTTATGAATAGACGCCAATGGCAGGGAGAAACGTACAATGCAATACAAAGTTAGGTCTGTTTTTGTTTCACTTACTAGTGATGTAGTAGTATTAAAAGTTGACACTGGGGCCGGGCGGTGGTGGCGCACGCCTTTAATCCCAGCACTTGGGAGGCAGAGCCAGGCGGATCTCTGTGAGTTCGAGGCCAGCCTGGACTACCAAGTGAGTTCCAGGAAAGGCGCAAAGCTACACAGAGAAACCCTGTCTCGAAAAAAACAAAAAACAAAACAAAACAAAAAGTTGACACTGGGAATTGAAGTCGGGCCGTGTGTGGAAGGCAGGGCGTTACTCCTGACCGCCTCCGGCCCTGCCTTCGCTTTTATTTTGCAGCGCGGACGGGCACTGCTTGTGCATGCAGGCCTCCGCCTCCATCTTCCACGCTGTCACCAGGACGGGCTTGAAACTCCTTATTTCTTACAAGCATTACTAGACAAATTATGGGGTAGCTTTCTAGTTCTGACTCCGTGCACACAGTAACCATGTGTGGAAAATGAGACGTTTCCTTTTTTCTAAATTTGTGCTTTAGAAGTGAACTTAAATGTTAACAGCTAATACATTCTGAATAGGAGAGCTAGATATTCTGTGCTATCCCTGTTGGCATGTATTTGTAAGGGCATTTCATATAGTGTGCTCTGTTTCTTTCTCTCCCTACACCCCTCCCTCCCCTCCTCCCACTTCTCTGTGAGCCAGTCCCTGCCTTTAAAGACAGCTGTCAGGACTTCCACTGCTACAAGTAGCTGCCACTGCCCAGGGGAGTCCCTTACTGTTGGAAACATGCCAGGACAGACTCATAGAAAGGACATGGGGGAAGTTTTCCTTTAATAAACCTGTCAGAGCGTGGTTTTCTGTTTGTTTTTTAAAGATAGCTTTCAGATAACGGCATTGTGAAGATTTCTTTATTTTTAAAATAATAAACTATTTCAGAATTTCCTGATGTTACAGGGTATAGCTTATTAATTTTATATTTAATAGGTTACAGAAGTCTGCATATTCTATAAGGGATTCAAAATTAAAAGGTAGGTTTAAAGACAATTTTCTTTTTTTGTTCTGGAAACTGAACTTGGAGCCTCAGGCATGCCAAGCCAAACATTCTACCACAGTACCACATCTCCAGTCTAGAGATAACTTTTGAATAGCATGTTTAAATATAGACAGAAGGGTCCGTGCTGGTGAAGTGGTAGCACGCGTTGACAGGTGGTGTATTCCTGCTGAGGATGTCTTGGTGTAGGTGCTGGTTAGCATCGTGCTGGCATGGATGATGAAGTAGTAACAGTGGCTGACTGGTTTTAGTGTGTGGTGTTGGTCATCATCCTGGGTAACAATGGCTGACAGGTGGTGTATTCCTGCTGTAGATGTCTTAGTGTGTGGTGTTGGTCATCATCCTGGGTAGCAATGGCTGACAGGTGGTATATTCCTGCTGTAGATGTCTTAGTGTATGGTGTTGGTTATCACCATGCTGGGATGGAGCTGTCAGATAGGAAACTGGTTGAAGGACTATTTACTTCTGGAGATCTCCCAGTTCTTTGTAAGTAAAACATATTTCTTGTGTATATTAAAGTATTTTGGAAATTTATTTTTAAGAGAAAAAAGCTTAAGTATTCTCATTCATTTCTTCCAAGAACTGAAAAAGAATTGTGAATATATGTATTATATTAAAATCTTTGGCAAAGTTTAATTCTTTATCATTTCATTCAACTTAGTACAATTTGAAAAGATCTTATTAGCTACTTTATTTTTAAGGTACATTATTATTTTAGATTATAAAGTCCTCTATTCCTTTTTCTAAATTTCTTAGAGATTTTATTCCATTTACATCACTATATCTTTTATAAGAAAATGTCTTCCCAGGATAATAAAGTTCTATGGCTTGATTATTCTTCAATCTGGTAGTCACTACCAGCACTCTAGCTATGGGAGTGAACTTGCCGGCTCACCTGGTGGTGATAAAGTCTACAATGCACTACAGTGGAGGCATGTTTGAGGAGTACAGCGAGACGGACATCCTGCAGATGATTGGGAGAGCGGGCAGGCCTCAGGTAAGGGACAGTGGCTTTTCTTCTTAACATTCCAAATGTAGCCAAGAAAGGGGCTGTGTGTTTTTAATTTGCATTTTATAATGAGATTGAATAATGACATTTAAAAATCAGCTTTAATGGAGGAATAAACATAAACAAGACTCACTAACTCAGATTATAAGAGTATAATGTACTCTTCCCATTCCAACTACTCTCTGAATGAAAGGGTGGATGTGTAAATTAGTGTACTGGTAAAGGAATTTTAAAGGGATTTTTCATCTTATTTTTAGTCTGAATAAATATGTTTTGTCATTATGTGTGTTTATTTTAGAAACTGTATCTCTATATGTAGCCTAGGCTGGACTTGAACTTGCCATCTTTCTGTTTTTGCCTCCTAAATACTAACATTGCAGTCATATGTCACATGTCTAGTCTTGGCATTTTGAATGGGCAGTTTTTCATTGAAAAGGGTTGTTTTGCATTATGGATCATGTAACATCCCAGGGTTGTAGCACTAATGTTACAATTAAAAGTCACCCCTATCTTTCTCAAAATATGTCTCACAAGTGTTTGAATGAGGAAGTCATTCATTTAGATACTAAGAGAAAATTCAGGAAAATTTTTCAAAGTATCAAAATGTTATGTCACACAAGTTTTTAATTTTAGAGGATAAATTAAATATATCAAATTATGTAGTGTCCTAGTTAGGGTTTCTATTGCTGTGATAAAACACCATGACCAAAGGCAACTTGGTGAGGAAAGGACTTATTTGTGGTACATTCCACATCAAGGTCTATCATCAGGAGTCAGGACAGGAACTCAGCAGGACAGGATCCTAGAGGCAGGAGCTGATGCAGAGGCTGTGGAGGGTGCTGCTTACTGGTTTGCTCAGCCTGCTTTCTTATAGAACCTAGAACCACCACAGCCCTGGGATGGCACCACTCAAAATGGGCTAGATTCTTCCACATCAATCACCAATTAAGAAAATGTCCTACAGGATTGCATACAGCCCAGTCTGATGGAGGCATTTTCCCAGCTGAGATTCCCTCCTCTCAGATGACTTTAACTTGTGTCAAGTTGACATAAAACTAGCTAGCATTTATGGAAAGTACATTAAATCTTAAGTTTTTAATTCAGTTTAGAAGATTTGACATTAACATTGTCAAAATTATGTTATTATTGAAACAAAAGTGATATTTACAGTTATACTCTTGAGAATTTTTTTAAATGAAACTTTTTGTTAATATTAAAATTCAAAAGCAGATTTTAGTCCTTTTGGCCCACTATTTAAGGCAAAGAACCATTCAGTGTGAAATGAAGGTTCTGAGGAAAGGGTTGTCCCTGTAATATGGTCTGGTCTTTGCTAATCTCTGTGCTTTGGTTACTGTTCCAGTTTGACACTACAGCTACTGCTGTTATTATGACCCGATTAAGTACAAGAGAGAAGTACATTCAGATGTTAGCTTGTAACGACACCGTAGAAAGCAGGTAACAAAGGACAGTTCACAAAGAAAATTAAACTAATATCACTTGTTGTTTTTTCCTTAATACATGGGAAGGAAGTTTGGTTTGGAGATTTTCTTAGGTTGTTTTCTTGAAATAGTCTAACAATTAAACTATAAAGCATTTGTCATTGTAGGAATTAAATAGATTTATTTAAAGACAATAGAGTTTTATTTGGTGATGGTGCTTGTTATTAATCCTAGCCACTTCTGGAGTCACATGACTGCTCATGCGCTGTGAGCAGTCAGGCAGAATGCTTAGTCACTCTAGGACCTTACGTCCTACGTAATCCATGTGCAGTATGGTCATGTATGCACACAGCATAATCATGTAATCTACCGCATGCATGGCGTAGCTACGTAAGCCCGGATGAGCCCGTATGCTCAAGGTGACCGATAGAAGCAGGCTCTGCTCGCTCCCCTCTCTCTCCCTCTTGCTCTGGAGTAGTCGTCCCCGCTCCGCACCTGTCCTTTAGGTCGGCCTACCCACCCCCACTCTTTCCCTCCCTAATGACAAAATGTAGTGGGTTCCGTAGTACCTCGTGTTTCCTTGTACCTGGTAAATAACACGGACAAAAAAATAACAGTTGTTAGCACACAACAGGACATATCTTTGTTGTAAACTCCTTTATTAATTATCACTGTCTTATAATTTATGAGTATTAATTTTGTAATTACTCACTTTTAGTAAGAGAAATATTTTCACACCTTAAACTTTTGTTTTATAATGAGAGAATATGACTGGGATTGTTTTCAGTATGTCATAAGTACTCCTCTTTGGGGAAAATAGGACATTATCTACACTACTATCACTGTACTGACTTTCTTATACAAAAATGTATCTTCTAGAACTATGAAGTAAGGAGAAATCTCAATTTTTTAAGATGTTAAACTGACTTTTTAAGATTTTCTCTCATATTTTTTAAAATTACTTTTCATGAATTATTAAAGTAGCAACTAATATACTATATATTATTAAAGTTTAGAAAATAAGATTTATGTTCTTGAAATTCACATTAGTAACACAGAGTTTTTTCCTCATTAGTTTGCACAGACATCTTATTGAACATTTAAATGCAGAGATAGTACTGCACACCATCACAGATGTGAGCATTGCTCTGGACTGGATCCGATCAACCCTGCTGTATATCAGAGCTCTGAAAAACCCATCTCATTATGGTTTGTTACTTTGACCTGGAAATATAGTGATTTTTTTCAAACTAGTGGGATTTCTATTTATACTATTAAAGAATAGTTTACAGAAACTAATAAGCAACAGGAAAAATAGTACCAGTCACCAATGTATTCAGAGGCAAGAGTGTACAAAAATGAGAACACACTGTCTGCTCTACACCTAGTCTTTTGATATTTTAATATGAACACTGTTAAAAATAGACTCAATGAGAAAAAAAAACCTTAAGTACCTAAACTAATTTAAAGTAAGTTAAAGCTTTAAAGTTTTGAATCTTGTTCATGTTATCATTTAGCTACTCTCTTGTTCTAAATTTGTGGCTGTTCATTTTTCAATTTGTAAGAACACAAAGCAAATAATAAAAGCAAATAAGGTGTAATTTTATTTTCCATTTTTTAATGCAAACAATGTTCTGTTGTATAAGTTTTCCAAAAAATTACTTAACACATAACATCTTGGAACAGCCAACATTTATTCTCTCGTGTAGTCTGTGAAGCCAAGAGTCAGCCAGTAGCCCTGGGTCAGTCTCTTGAGGTGCTGTCAACATGCTGCTGAAGGCGGAAGTTGTGTGAAGGCTGCGGCAGGCCTGAGGAGTCTCATCCAAGAAGGCTGCGGTCTCATAGAGCTCTTGTTTGGAGGCTCAGTTTGTTCAGTGTGGACTTTCCTACATCTCTCTTCCTGCAGGATGAATAGTACAAGAGACTGACTGAATAAAACACTGCATTTCCTTATTTGTAACCATGGTCACACATTATCACTTATTTTAAAAACAAGTTAATAGTCCTGGCCACATGAAGGGGAGAGGAATTAAGGAATTCACTTTTTGGAGGCAAGAGTATCAAAATTGTTATGAACATTTTTTAAAGAGATAAGTTCTTGCTGTGTGGCCTGGCAAACGTGAATCCCAGAACTCTCCTGCCTTAGCCGCTCAACATGTAGAGCTGTGTGCCACTGCTGTCATCTTTGAGTGTATTTTAACTGCTACTATTCCGCTGTTCTGCACTGTTTTTCTAGTTTTCCCTAATATGTCCTGGAAACTTTCTGATTGATTAATTTATAGGCTAGCGTATGAAGTGATAGGCTTCACTATGACATTTTCATGCTTTTCTGACATTGTGTTCTTACTTTTCTCCCTTCTACTGCCCTCCCCTACCTCCACAGCCCCCTGTGACTGCACCTCTAGATCCCCACAAATGGTCCTCCCTTCTGCTTCATGTCACTGATTCATTACCTTCTCCCATCATTCTTAAAAGCTCTCCTTCTGCCGGGTGGTGGTGGCGCACGCCTTTAATCCCAGCACTCGGGAGGCAGAGCCAGGCGGATCTCTATGAGTTTGAGGTCAGCCTGGGCTACCAAGTGAGTTCCAGGAAAGGCGCAAAGCTACACAGAGAAACCCTGTCTCGAAAAATCAAAAAAAAAAAAAAAAAAAAAGCTCTCCTTCTCATAGTCTACTCTCTTCACGCATACACACACTTAAACCTGGATTACATACATGGTATCAAATGTGGTCTTTTTCTTTTTGAGTTTGGCTTATTTCACTTAACATAATGATCTCCAGTTCCATTCATTTTCCTGCAAATGTCATGATTTCATTTTCCTTTATGGCTGGAAAAATCCAGTGCATAGATTACCATGCTTTCTTTATCCATTCGTCTGTCTATATATGTCTGCATATGTGTCTGTGTGAGTGCACCTGTATAGGTGGGCAGGGATGAGTGCACCTGTGCTCGTGAGTGGAGGCTGAAGAGGTCAGATGGCCTCCTCTGTCACTCTTTGTACTCCTTTGGGGTAGGGTCTCTAACTGAACCTGCAGCTCATGCTTTCTCAGCCCAGTCATCTTCCTGTTCCCACCTCCCTTGGAGCTGTGTTTATGAGCATGTATAGGATGCTCAGCTTGTTAAGTAGATACTGGGATCCAAATTCCAGTCTCGTGACTGAACAGCAGGCATTCTTTTTTTTTGGGTTATTTTGATTTGTTCTTGTTTTGATTTTTGAGACAGAGTTTCTCTGTGTAGCTCTGGGTGTCCTGTAACTCACTCTGAGTTACAGTTCAGGATGGCCTTGAACTCTGCCTCCTGAGTGCTGGGATTACAGGTGTGTTCCACCACCTCCTGGCCAGCAAGCATTCGTAACTGAAGAGACATCTCTCTAGCCCCTTTGTTTTTTGAGGAACTTCCACACTGACTTGGAAGGTTTGAAAAGTAACTAATAATATTCTATTTTATCTGCATATTATTTTTATGTTTGTGTGTGGAGCATGGGTTGTGTGTGCACAGGAGTGCAGGTGCCCACAAAGCCCAGAAGAGGGCATCAGATCCCCTGGAGCAAGGGTTCCAGGCCTGTGAACTGCTGACGTGAGTGCTGGGAACCAAACCAGACCCTCTGCAAGAGCAGCTGATCTCTTAAGCAGCCCCATGGTCATCTCTCAGCAGTTCAGTTGATGCATGTTCATCTTAAAAATGATCTGCTGGTGTCAACCACGTGTTTTCACATGTGCAAACCCATTTGCACGCTAAATTCTTAGAAATGAAGTTTCCAGGTCAGAAAGTACATACATCTTAAAATGTAATAGCTGTTGCTAAGTTGCTGCCCTTAATGGCGTACATAGTTGTCGACAGTGGTTGAGTGTACTGCATTCACACAAACCCTGCGGGCATATACTGTATCTTCTTACCAGTGTCATTTATGTCTTAATTTGCACTTGTTTCTTCTCATGAGTAATTTATTTTTATAGTGAATTTTTTGTATTGTATTATCACAGTAAATTGCACAAATCTTAGGTATAAAGGTCAATTAAATATACACATATAGACACAGACACCCACGTATAGTCACAATCCAGTTCAGTATATAGAATGTTTTCCACAAGTCCCCTTGTGTTTTATTGTATCTTGAACCTGAGGTAATTGGAAGTATTTGTTCTTTTCTTCAGTTTCCCTCCTCCTCCTCCTCCTCCTCCTCCTCCTCCTCCTCCTCCTCCTCCTCCCCTCCTCCTCCCCTCCTCCTTCTCCACCTCCACCTCCCCTCCTCCTCCTCCCCTCCTCCTCCTCTTCCTCTTCCTCCTCCTCCTCCTTCTTTTTTTTTTTTTTTTTTTGCTTTTTCGAGACAGGGTTTCTCTGTGTAGCCCTGGCTGTCCTGGAACTCACTCTGTAGACCAGGCTGTCCTCGAACTCACAGAGATCACCTGCCTCTGCTCCTGAGTGCTGGGATTAAAGGTGTGTGCTACCACTGCCCAGTGTGTCTTCAGTTCCTTTAAATTCATAGTATTCATGAGATTGCTTCACAAAATTGAGTCTATTAGTAATAATTTTGTTATTATAGTGTAACCCCAGTTGTATCAGTATATCACAGTTTAATCAACTATTTTGTGGATGGAAAAATCGATCATTTACAAATTTTGACCATGTACACCTGCCTCAAGTGTATTTATCCCCACACAAATCCACATGCACATATTTAAAATAATAAAAATAGATCTTTAAAGCTGATTCTACATAGTTTTTGTTGAAATATTGTATTTCTGATTACTTAATACCATTTTAAAAAACAAAATATAGCCAGTTGATATTGAAAAGATTTCAAAATAGTGGTTGTGTTCCATGAATAATTAAAGCCTCTTTGAGCTCATTAAACTGTTATTAATATATATGAAATATAGATGCTCTTCTTTATGTGAAGTTTAAATTGAACCTATAAAGGCTGATTAAATTCACTCTGATTTTTTAAATAAAGTTTCATGACTTCACAGGTTTCGTATCTGGATTGAACAAAGATGGAATCGAAGCAAAATTACAAGGTTAGATGTATTTCATTCTAATATCTATATATATAGTGTATAAATTTTGAGAAAAAATGTCAGTTACTAAAGAAATAAGGATATGTTAATTATATTTAAAAGTTAGCTTATCTGGAGAAAAAAATATTAAAAATTATTTATTTTTCATACACAAAACTTGGCATGTACAGCTTTTCTGTATTTATTGATTAATTCTGTCAGAATATTTGCCCTTATATAATATGTTAACTTGGCTTATTTGGGTTTTGTTTTTAAAATGATTCTGATCTTTGAAAACATTACTAATAAACACTTTATTTTCCTTTTTAAGCTTAATTTTAATTGAAAATATAATCCTAGATTTATTGTGGGGGTCTCATCCCGATCTGTGCAATATTTCCTTTTCAAATTTTAACTTTTTAAGATTTAACTTTAATGTATTTCATTACCTGTATTTAATTATAAAAATTCAATAAGCAATTATTATAATTAAACATTATTATGTTTTCATTGTGTTGAGACTTTCAGTAAAAACAATGAATTTTGAATCTGCTAAAAATGTTAATTTTAATTTGCTCTCTGAATATTTTTATGTGGCAAATAAAAATACAGAGATAAGGGTAAAGTAATAAATTGCTCACTTGAAGAATAAATATGTTGCTGGGTGTGGTGGCATATACTTGTAATCTTTTATTCAAGAAGATGCAGGAGGATGATGGTAAGTGTGAGGCTCGCCTGTTCAATAGTGAGTTCCAGACAGACAGGCCTACATAGTGAGACCCTATCTCAAAACAACAAAAAGGAATAAATATGTTATTGAACATGGTGTTAAAATATATTTATAAAATAGTTATAGTATTTTCTTGAACCATTTTGTAATTGAAAATTTTAAATTAAATAGTACATTAATGATAACGACAAATTGCACATAAGAAATCAGATAGGTAAAATTAGGTTCTGCTGTGCAAATGAGGCAGACGGCCATAAGCCTCTTGTGAAGCTAAGCAATGGAGCTGTTACACTTTCTCCCTGCTCCAGCCTGCTTCCTCCTTGAAGTATGTCTTTACTTAAGTTCTGTTGCTTTTCTTGCTCCTATCTGCATGGCTCTGTGCACTTCTTTGATCTGGAACAGAAGAACCTGGAACCACTCAGGAGGTGCCCTTTTAATCCTGGTTTCAGCCAGTATTTTGTTTTTGTGTTATTATATCTTTGATAAAAGTTTAAAGGAGTAGCCAGATGGTGGTGGCACACACCTATAATCCCAGCACTCGGGAGGCAGAGGCAGGGGAATCTTTTCAAGGCCATCCTGGTCTACAGAGTGAGTTCCAGGACAGCCAAGGCTACACAGAGAAACCCTGTCTTGAAAAACAAACAAAGTTTAAAGGAAAAAACGTGTCACAATGGAGAACAGATAGTAAAACTGTTCCTCAGACCTGGAACAAGTCATTCAGCTCCAATTCATTAGTTTCCTCATGTGGGTATGTAAGTAATATTTTCTCATACTTTATAATTTTAGAAGTAACTCAAGTAATATATATCATTTCAAATGTTCCAAGTGCTGAATGGTATTTAGCATATTAATTGAATGTCATATTTCAAGTTTTTTTATGTGTATGGGTGTTGGTTTTTTTTCATGTATTTCAAGTTTTTTTCTTGCTTTTTAAAAAACTCAGTTCTTCCAGAACAGTTATGCTATAGCACACATCTTTAACATATTTAATAGTAAATCTCTATTTTCATTTCTTCCTTATTTTACTAAACTTAAAATGTGTTTTCTGTAATTGAACAGAATTATGTTTGAAGAATCTGAAAGATTTATCATCACTAGACTTGATAAAGATGAATGAAGATGTTTATTTTAAACCAACAGGTATTTTTCCTTATGATGTCATTGAGTTTAATGCTTGCTAAGACTAAAATTTTTTTTTACTAAAATTTAGACAGCAGTAAAACTAGATTGTGATCTTCGTTTTCAATAGCATATCATTTTTAGCTGTAAAGCGTCAGTTCGTAGGACTCCCTTTTGAAACTACAGCTTCTTGACACAAGACCTCACTGATTCTGGTAATTCTCTGCTGTGGGATGGTCTGTATGTCAAATGTGTTGCTGATTGGTCAATAAATAAATCACTGATTGGCCCGTGGCCAGGCAGGAAGTATAGGCGGGACAAGGAGGAGAATAGAGCTGGGAAGTGGAAGGCTGAGTCAGAGAGACACTGCCAGCCGCCATGATGAGAAACAACGTGTAAAGATGCCGGTAAGCCATGAGCCATGTGGCAAGGTATAGATTAATGGAAATGGATTAATTTAAGCTGTAAGAACAGTTAGCAAGAAGCCTGCCACGGCCATACAGTTTGTAATCAAAATAAGTCTCTGTGTTTACTTAATCGGGTTTGAGCGGCTTGGGACTGGCGGGTGAGAGAGATTTGCCCTGACTGTGGGCCAGGCAGGAAAACTCAAGCTACAAATGGCGTCCAACGTGGTGGCAAGAGTTTCCACCTAAAAACTGAGAAAAAAGATTCTAAAACGGAGCTAAAAACAGTTCCTAATTGTCTCTCTCAAATGAGCGGCAGCTGCCGGTTTGAGCTACTGGCGTGTGCGCTCGATCTGCAGTATGGTGGGAATGAGACCTTTGCAAGTGGCACTTTGAGCTGCATGGTGGATTTAGCCTTTGCTGGTGCAAAACAAAAAAAGAGGTTTCTGGGCTACATGCTGCTTGGATAAAAAGCATAGACCCACGATGGCTCCCAGAGCTGGCGGTAAGCATACCGCCGCCATGTTGGGAAGCTGAGGTGGGTGGAGCCAGCAGCCACAGCTGCTGCAGCTTAAAGCAATAGATTCACAATAAGACAGATTCAGATGTAATAGTTTAAAATGTGTGTAAAATATACGTAGGCTTAAAAGAGACAAAAAAAAAAAGGTGATATATACAGTATAGAAACAAATACATGGTTTTAAAAAATAAAGTCTTTAAAGAGACAGTAAAATTAATATAAAAAATAAGCCACGTAGAGATGACTATTACACAGAGAGTCTGGATTGTGTTGTCTTTGGGATTCTTAACTACAGAGAGATATTTGATTGTAAAGGAAGCTGAGTTAAACCAATATGCATATTTTAAAGGTACCTTGACTTCAAAATTTGGATATAAGGATATGTTGCTTTGGAAAGGAGATTCTGCTTTTGTTCCCACAGAAAGCAAGAGGCTATGGATTTGTTCCAGAGTAAGATACATCAGGTTTGACCAGCCAAGACCCCCTGAAAGGTCTCCGATGACACCATGGCCCAGATGATCCAACATCCAGAACTGTTTCAAGACAACTGGCTCAGATGATACAGCCTCACGGACTACTCCATGATCCTAAAATTTTCTTTGTTTCCCCAGAAGATACAGCGCCCCCCTCCAGCAGGAAGTAGTAAGAGAAGCTACGCCCAAATTCCCAAATATACCAAGCTGACTTTGGAGATGTGTAAAGGTTAAAACTTTCCTTTTTAAGAAAAGAAAAGGGGAGGTGCTGTGGGATGGTCTGTATGTCAAATGTGTTGCTGATTGGTCAATAAATAAATCACTGATTGGCCCGTGGCCAGGCAGGAAGTATAGGCGGGACAAGGAGGAGAATAGAGCTGGGAAGTGGAAGGCTGAGTCAGAGAGACACTGCCAGCCGCCATGATGAGAAACAACGTGTAAAGATGCCGGTAAGCCATGAGCCATGTGGCAAGGTATAGATTAATGGAAATGGATTAATTTAAGCTGTAAGAACAGTTAGCAAGAAGCCTGCCACGGCCATACAGTTTGTAATCAAAATAAGTCTCTGTGTTTACTTAATCGGGTTTGAGCGGCTTGGGACTGGCGGGTGAGAGAGATTTGCCCTGACTGTGGGCCAGGCAGGAAAACTTCAGCTACAATTCTCGGCAGAGAGTTTGAAGTCTCTAGGCCTGTTATAACTAGTACAAATAACCTTTGCCATTTGAATGCACAACCATGATTATCTGAGTGGCTACTTAGGCTTCTCTATGCAGGAAAGTAACATCATCTTCTGCCCATGGCAGGTTTGTTGACAGGGGCTGTGAGCTGTGCGTAAGCTGGAGTCCTTTGTCCTCCAGGCACAGGAAGGTACCTCTCTGCTTCAGGCAGTGCTTGCCCATGGTGCACTGTGTGAGTTCACTACAGCCTTGATTCTAAAGACACACATACACTTTGCACAGTCCATGATGTCACCCCATGCAACACTTACACAGCCTTAAAACACCTCAGATCTGAGACTTACACGTTACAAAATGTTTCTATATTTACAAAATTTTATGCTCCTATAAAATACAATTAAATTATGGAAAATAAATACTTTTAATATTTTTTTTCGAGACAGGGTTTCTCTGTAGCTTTGCGCCTTTCCTGGAACTCACTTGGTAGCCCAGGCTGGCCTCGAACTCACAGAGATCCGCCTGGCTCTGCCTCCCGAGTGCTGGGATTAAAGGCGTGCGCCACCACCGCCCGGCCTTACTTTTAATATTTTAAAAGGGGGAGGCACCAGGGTGTCATGCCTTATTCTATGGGAAAGTTACAAGTCCTCGCAATGCTGTTTCTCAGTGTGAAGCACTGAGTACTGCCCAGATGCCAGGCTTTCCTGAGCTCCCTCCCTCTTTCCAGTCTCCTTCTCTCTGCCTTTCTCTTTTTCTTCTCAGCTTAGTTTTGTTTAGAAAAAGAATTAAAGAGGGAAAGTGTTTCATACTTTTTAGGATTTAAAATTAGAACTGATTTTGGAGGAACATATTGACTTTATTATTTAAATTAATCATTGTAATTAAAAGTATATGAAATTTTTTATAAAATTCATAGTCTATTGACTTTTGGCATGTATCCTTCTATTTTTAATGAACATTTTACATATTTGTGGCCATATTCTAGGATGTGGAGTTTGTGTCATGCTTCATTTATAGTCAGTGTAAAGTTAGAGTTTTGAAACAGTTTACTGCTGAGTCTCAGCCTTGTGTTTTAAACCTTTCCTATTTTTTCTGGGTCTTTATTGGCTTCTGTGTTCTTGAGTATCTAATGAGAGGGACCATGAGAATTTCTAATGTAACTTCCCTGCCTACTCTTCGATATTTTACTATCATAAAAAATTCATATTCTCAGTATCATTTTTCTGTTTTATTGTTATCATTATCTGAGTCCTTTTGAGACAGGAACTGGAACTCACTCTGTTGACTAGGCCAGCCTAGAGCTTGAAGCAGTCATCCATCCGGTCCCTTCTGAATGCTGAGATTGCATGCCTAGCTTCTTGTAGTGTCCCTTGACACCACTGAAACCATCCTTTTTGCTATTAAACACATTTAATAAATGATCACGTAATATTTTTCTTCCTCAATTATCAGTGAATGCTACCTGACTTTATCTCCTGGACACTGCTGTGTCTGTTCTCCTGATTCTAACAGTGCCGTCTTGACCTTTCTCTTGACCTTTCTGCTTATGTAGACTTGTGGAGGCTTCAGACTTGGGATCTGTTTCCAGTTTATGCTTCGATTCTTTGTAAATACAATTCACCTTCACAGACACATTATGATTACTTTATATAAATTCATTAAGAATTGCAGTTTTGTGTGTTGGCAGCAGCAAAGCTGGACTAGGAAACATGGCTCTGTGCTCCCATGTGTAGCAGCTCAAGGAGTTCTCAGAGATCTCTCTCTGCTCAGGCGAAGCAGTATTGTTGACTTTTACTACAGTAGAGAATTTCAGGACAACAGTTTTTACATAGGTTTAGACATGACATTAAGGGAAAGAGAAAGGATAATATGCATACGTGGACGTGTGTTTCTCAAAGAGAGTCACACTTAAGTGTCTTTTGTTACTTTGTTGAAAAGATTTTTGTTTGTTTGTTTTGGTTTTTCAAGACAGGATTTCTCTGTGTAGTCTTGACTGTCCTAGAACTCACTCTGTAGATCTGGCTGGCTTCAAACTCAAAGATCCCCCAGCCTCTGCCTCTGCCTCTCTCTGCTGGGATTAAAGGTGTGCACCACCAGAGCTTGTTGAAAAAATTTCTAAGGAACTTTTTTCCTCCTATTTTTCTTCCTTTTTGGTAAGCTAAGTCATAGGGTAGTTTCACAGGTCACAAGAATCAAAGGAATCTTTTGGATTTCAGCCCTACCCAGGTAGGATATTCTATTAGTTCTCTGAGAGTTTATAAATGATAGCTGTATTTCTGTTAGCTGGTTTAGTTGACTTTGGCAGAATGCTATTTCATAATTATTTAGACTGCCATTAATGTAGCTAGCAGTTCCTAGCTGCTATTTCTAACTAGTTTCTTTGGGTTTTTAAATTGTTTTGTTTTGAATGCTGAAATTACAGTTCTTTTTTATGACTTCTTGTTCCTTCATGTTACTGTCTTGTTTTATCTGCTAGAGTGTATTATTTTATATATAAATTCTATCTGTTTATTCTAATAATCTGCTTCATATAGTTTTTGTTTTCTAATTTGTGATCACAATACTCAGATATTTGGATCATTTTATCTGTTAGCTTAACAAGGTTTTTTCCTATTTTAAGAGAGATTAGTTATTTAAAAACAGCTGGTATCTGTAAGAAGCTTGGCAGTCATTCCATTGGGATGGAGGTCATCCATGGAGGGAGGAAATAAAAGGAAGAATGCCAGGAGGGCAAATTTTAGCTTGCATTGTAATCCTAGGCTCAATTGACCAAAATGATGGGGAGATGAGTTGAAGATAAAGTTGTCTGTTGGGGCGGTCTCTTACCTGTATGCCTGCTCATATTAGTACTGTCATTGCACCGCTGGGAGGATCTTATGAAAGTGGGACTTGAGTGTTAACTTCATGGTGGTGGATTGATTCGTACAAATGGAACTGTTGGCCAGTAATATTCCGTGCCGTAAGACATCTGAGAGGTGCATTCTCACAGCTCCCCTGCCTCTGCCCTGCACACTTTACTTTGAACTCTGGACTTACTACTGTGAGCACGTCTATCCACTGATAACTATATTAGCAGCAAGTTTGCTTTGCACTCCTGTTTACTCTAAAGCCTTTTTCCATTTTGTTTCCAAACTTCGACTTTGGCTCTTTTTTTTTCATGGTTTCTTCTCTAGATTATTTTTTTCTTACCTAAGAAGCTTCATTCCAATTAACAAAGCAACAAATATATGGGTTTTTTTTTAATATTTTGTAGTAGGGAGATACTTTATATTAATTTTTGGACAGATGGTGAAAGGACCATTTTTAAATATATTCCCCAAATAACCTTATTCTTGTCGTCACATTGGTCTTTCAGAAGCCCCCTTCCTGACATTGCGTTACCTGCATTTTCATTTGCGTACTCAGCAGGCTCCTAGTTGGGACAGTGACTCTGAGCTGGTCTAGCTCTTTCTCAAGCTCTGTTTGTTAATTCTGTCCATTTTACAATGTCCTCAATGCCTGTCACTCTGTTGACATGCCAAAAATACTCCCTTCTTTGAGAAAACCTGTGGTTCATATGTAATACTGACTGTTCCCTTGAGACCAGGTGTGACACTCTGCTCTTCACAGCTGTTTTCTGTGTCTGTTTGTAAGGACTAGAACTCTTTGAGATACTTTTGGACAATTAACAATTAGATCCAGTAGGCTCTGAAAGAAATTTTATTCCATCAGTTCCTCATCCCTGCTTCATTCATCCCCCCTCCCAACCTCCCTGCTATTTTATTTTCAAAACAATTTATTTTGAAACTCCAATTTAACTAAAAATATTGCTCAAGCATTGTAAGTGGCCCTGTTGTTTTACAAATCTGATCCACAGTCTGAACTCCTTTGAATAGCTGTAGAAGCTCCTTGCGGCCCTCTAGTTTATTAGTCATCATTTCTTCATTTTAAAAATTAGGCAGCACTTACAAAGTATTAGGTGCTTCAACCAAACTTTGAGGCCTGTATTTCTGTTTTCCTGGCATATTAAGAAATGTACACATGATCTTCTGCCATGTACTAAATGAAGATTCATACTAGGTCAGCTGACTGGAACTCACAGTGATCATCAAGCCATATCCCTTTCTAAAGTAGTCTAAAGATAGTCTTCTTAATTTCTCTGTTTTGATAAATCAATCTTGATTCTCTCCAAGGTCATAATGGCCTTGTTTCCTCTCTGCCAAGTCATATTAGTCACTACTTAAAACTCATTTTTTTCTATTAGGTCATCCCATACTGACAGTTCTCTTAGGGTTAATTTCTTCCCTTCTTCAGCTTGTATGTAAATATTACTGTTCAGTGGACTTTGTTCTCTAGCTTACCTGTGTTTGCATCAACCATAAGGTCCACAGGTTGTGTTTTCTACGGTTTGTGGGGTGTCTTTGCTCAGGGGTCAGTACAAGCACACAGTGCCCATTAAGTAGATGGTAAGAAAATGCTTGTTTAACTGATTTCTTAAAAAGCATGTTGTATCAGCTAATATGGAAATGTTTATTTTTCCATCTTTTCTAACAGAGGCAGGAAGACTAATGGCTTGGTATTACATTACATTTGAGACAGTGAAGAAATTTTGTACAATCAGTGGAAAAGAAACTTTATCCGATTTAGTAAGTTTTCATTAGAAATTAATAGTTATAGAATAAAAATAATATTGGAGAGAAAACGGATTTATATATCTCCTATAATGTAAAATGGAATGAGCAGAAAGGAAAATCATTTTAATGGTTGTCTCCCTTTGATCATGAGATAGGGAATATAACTCCAAGGAATACATTATATTTTCATTTGTGTTTCTTATCAAAGCTAAGAAAATTTATATACAAATAGATATGGCTACTATTTTACAACTTACAATTTACTTGGTAATGATGCTTACCTCAGGAGTGCCTCCAAATATAATATGTGAGAAGGATTCCAAGAGAGTATATCATGATACATTAGCAAAGTGTGCATGAATGCATGACTGAGTCATAACATGACAACATGTTGCTGCAGTGCCCTATGTCTGCAACCCTTCCCTAAATCATTTGCCTAAGCACAGCAATAACAGTGGAAATAGAATGGTATTGTGATGGCCCAGGAAAAAGAACTGATTCTGGAGAAAGAGAGACCAATAAATAGATTATGCTTAAAAAGCAATGGCAGGAACAGTTTTGCAGCTACATAATGAACGGACCACAGGCATTCTGCTGGGATCTAAGAACGGCATTGGCCTTTGCCCGCCTTGCTGGAGACAGGAATATAAAAGGAGAGATTGGTAGAAAAAGATATTTATTCTCAATTTTAAACCCTGCACTTCTATTTTAATTATCAATTAATTACCACAATAAAGTTATTATATTAAAGACTGCACAGTAAAAATTCTGGTTATTGTTAAGGAGTCATGTGAGCAAACTTGGTTTGTATTTCTGTGTAGAAGTCAAGATTAACAAATATTCAGGTCAGCCCCATCTGGCTGAGTTTATTGTGTGAGAGATTTAGAACACTTAGTTCTATCCCAGCACTAGTCTACAAATCCAAATTTCTTAGTATTTAAAGCATCTTTCCTTTACTAAATTATTGGGATAGTGATTTGTAAACTACAGAAGGATGAAGAGCAGCAGTAACAGTTAATAAGAAGATCAGCATGCACTGAGCGCCTCTCGCTGCACTAAATGGAACATTTGACCTTGTTCATTGTTACAGTCTTACTGATATTATCCTAATGGCTGATCACATTGTATCTCACAATGTCTAGCATATAGAAACTTCTAAGGATTTGTCAGTGATCATATATTTAAAGAAGTAAAGTGTATAAAGCCATCTTTAAATTCTGCTTTGCTAACAAATAAAGCCAGAGTGCCCCTGGGCAGCATGAAAAATAAGTAAATTCAGAGAAAGGGGGTAAGAAAAAAGTTTAAAATGCAATTTGTTAAATTAATAAATGCTTAAATTTTATAGATTTCAATGATAGCCAGCTGCAATGAATTTCTAGACGTGCAACTGAGGATAAATGAAAAGAGAGCATTGAATGCTTTAAACAAAGACCCAAACCGGATAACGATCAGGTATAGAAATTATATTTACTTTCTATAGCTTCGGAGGTTATATTTAGTTAAATAATAAAACACTTCCATGTGTTTTATTTACAGATTTCCAATGGATGGGAAAATTAAAACAAGAGAAATGAAAGTGAACTGGTAATGAACATTTATTTTAATGTCCTAAAATACTGCATATACATTATGATTCCTATGTGTGAGGGCCCCCCTTTACGAGACAGAATCTCCGTATATAGTTCCAGCTGGTGTCAGAACTCAGTTTACTACCACAGCCTCCTGTGTGCCAGGACTGCTGATGTGAGTCACCAGGCCCGTTTCTTCTGCAGTGTTAAAATACATTTTTTCTTTAATTTAAAAAATAATGTCTTTATAGAAAAATAAGGAATCAAAATTTATATGTGAAATTAATTTCCAAGAACTTTCAGACTTTGGTTAAAATAAATTGTGAGTCTGGGGATGTAACTCAGTGGTAGAGTGCTTGCCTTGGTATGCACAGGGCCCTGCCTTCAGCCCCACTACTGTGGAAGGGAAGGAGAAGGGAGAGAAAAGAAGGGGAGGAAAGGCAGAGATGTAAAGAAAGAGATGAAAGAAAGTTTTTAGTTAGACAAGTCACTTGTTGACAGTATATTCTGTGGAGGCAAAGTAGACGATAGGAATACAATGTACTTATGCTTCTAAGTCAGCATGAATGAAACATGCGTGGAAACAATTGACATCATTAAAACATAACTAATAAGCACTGACTCAATAGTCATGGAATTCTAGGAGAGAAAAGTAGTAAAAAAAAAAAAAAAAACACAAACAAACCCCAAGTGCATGAATGCACGTGTGAGTGGACAACCATTCTGTCAGGAGCGGGGAGTTTATATAGAAGAACTGCTGGTTTATAAACTAAGGTAGACTGTGACCTCTGACTTTTGCCCCGTTTGTAATTGCAAATGCAAAGATTTACTTTTCTGATATGAAAAGTGATTTCTTGGATATTTAGGCCTTGATACTTAGGTCTTTTGATTTAAATGACGTGATTCAAGATAAAAAGTTTTTTGTTTGTTTTCTTTTGTTTTTGTTTTGAGACTGAGTCCCTCCCTCCATGTAGCCTTGGCTGTCCTGGAACTTGCTATTTAGACCAGGCTGGCCTCGTACCTACAGAGAGCTGCCTGCCTCAGCCTCCAAAGTGCTAGAATAAAAGGTGTGTGCCACCATGCCTGGCCAGTAAAATGACTTTTTTAACTTAGCTCAGTGAAGCCAGTTAACCCAGGAATTTTTTTCTTCTTTAGCTAGAGGAAGTTATTCTTTCTTTAGGATATTTTTCAATTTTATCTCCCAGATATTCATAAAAACAGTCTTCACACTGCAATTCTTCACACAGATCTATGGCTTGCAGCAGAAGTTAATAGGGTTTATTAACTATATTTCTGCAGCAATTCAAACAGCTTTGGAGACCTTAGAAATCATATGGCCCAATCTTGTTATTGCACAAATGAAATGACATTCACATAAGCAATGGCTTGGCCAAGTTGCTATGTGGGAAACTAAGCTACAACTGGAGCTCTTAACTTCGTGTTTTGTTCCCAGTGTACGCTCTTGTATCAATTACTAAGTCAAATCAAGATTTTTTTCACAGATATCTGTAGAATACTGTGTTTGTGTTTGAAGTGCTTACCAACCCTGCCGTAAGTTAGATATGTTATTTTGCAAGTTGGGAAAGGGAAGTCAAAAGTGACCTGCAACAATAATTAAATAAACAGACTCTCAGTACCATACAGACCAAAGGGGAGAGAAATTCTAAGGAATACTTCAGTCAGTCATGCCAAGTCCTGTGTGATAGTGATCTTTAAAAGGAAATAATGAAGTATGTTTTCCCCAGTCTTATTCAGGCGCAGTTGGGATGCATTCCTATCCAAGATTTTGCTTTGACACAAGATACCTCGAAAATTTTCAAAAATGGCTCACGAATTGCAAGATGTATGTTAAATCATTAATGGATCTTCATTTTTTCCCAGTAAATTAATATAGTATGTTTAATATTGGGAACTTTTTTTTTTAGGGTTGTCAGATTTTGTGGCTTCCCAGGAAAAGAAGTTTGTTGTGCTTTTAAACAGTGTGATTTTAGCTAAATGTTTTAAGTGTAAACTCTGGGAAAACTCTCGGCATGTATCCAAACAGCTGGATAAAATTGGTAGGTACTCAAGACAGACAAGTCATTTGTCATTGTCTGCAATTTCTTTTATATTTTACTATTAATAATATTATTTTATGATGATTATGTACTTTTAAGGAAAATATGCCTTTGTAGAGTACTATGCTTATATTTGAAAACCAGAGTTTTATTTGTTCTTGCTTAAATAATTACCAATAAGAGATGGTGAGATGGTTCTGTGGGTAAAGCTGCTTGCTGCCTTGCCTAATGACCTGAATTCAGTCCTTCAGACCCACATGGTGCAAAAAGAGAACCTGCTCCTCTCACCTCCTCCTGTGTGTTTCACACACACAAGTAAATAAATGAATGCAAAACAACCAATTATTATAAACCAACTGAATAATTAAATCAAATGCAAAAATACATGAGAAATCTAACTTTAAAGTTCTCATTTTGAAATTTGTTCTTTAATTGACTTTGTTTTAGTAATTATGTAACTATGTAATATTATCTATTACTTCTGTGATCAATAATTTACTGTGTCATTAGTGACAAGATATAAAACTTTCAAGATCAGATGTATCCTGATTATTTCTGTTTTCAATAATAGCAGGATATCAGTGCCCATTTTAGTGTTTCTGCAGACAGAAGGTTGTTCCTGCTTTCTGTTAGGACCCAGTGTAGGGTACACTTTAAAATACTACAGCATGCCAGTCATAAAAACTGGATCAGACTGAAGAATTCTGGTGTTTTTCCAGTTTCTTACCTTGACGTTGTTACCCTACTTCCTAAATAAGTAATATTATAAAAAGAGCTATTATCCAAAGATTGACAGCCTCATTAGTTTTGTGACTTTATATGTGTCTTTGGACAATTAAAAGGTATATAATGGAATCTGGGTGTGGTAGTACACTCCTATAATCCCAGCACTCAGGATACAGAGGCAAAGAATCAGGAGTTCAAGGACAGCATTTATTATGTAGTAAGTTTAAGGACAGCCTAGACTATTAATACATGAGACCCTGTCTCAAAACCAACCAACGAGCTGGGCATTGTGGTGAATGCATTTAATCCTCCTTAGCAGAGACAGGCAGTTTTCTGAGTTTGAGGCCATCCTGATTTAGGAGGGAGTTCCAGGACAGCCAGGGCCATACAGAGTAACCTTATCTAGAAAAGCATAGATACCCCTCCCCCAAAAAAACCCTAACTGATGGGCATTGAAGAAACTCCATATGGAGTTTGTTTTCTTTATGGCAAAAGCTAGCCATGTGGGCAAAGAAACTGCCCTTGCCTCAATTGCTCATAGTTACTGTCCAAACTGGACCAGCAGGACGAAAAAGAGGCAACTGCCAAACTTTACCAAGACAAGGTAGGACAGTCCATCAAAATTCCTTGCTTCACAGGAAAGTCTGTCAGACATTCTAGGCCTATAGGCCAGAGTTGGATGACCCAACATTGCAGAGGAACTTTGGGTGACTATCCAGGCAGCCTGATGTCCCTGTCATTAGGTAACATTCCACTCTTCTGGGGTCTTTGATGGAGCTGAAGTCTAAATAGTTACAGTTTTCCTTAGTTATAGGAGAAAGTAAATTAGATTCAAAACTTGAGACTCTCCAATAAGGTAATTAAGTATTTTCTCTAATTTTGCCAAATGCAAATGAATTAGATAGTGTTACTGTAATTCTCACTTAGTAACTGTTTTTGTTGTATATAATCTTACTATGTTAAAGTTAAAACCTTCCTTTTTAATTAGACAAAAAGGGGGAGATGCTGTGGAATAATCCTCCTGTATACTATAAAAATTTGTCACTTGAATTGGTTTAATAAAACACTAATTAGCCAGTATCCAGGCAGAAAGTATAGGTGGGGTGACCAAACAAAAAATTATGTGATGAATCTTTAGGGATTATCATTTGGCTGGTTTGGGTTCTTTTTTTTTCAGTGAGGGAGAGGAGCTAAAGATCAGACCAAGGTCCTTGTACAAGCTGCACAAGCATTCTACCACTGAACGACAACACCAACACCTGTTGTTTTGTGCAATAGGATCTGGCTATATAGTTCAGTCTACTTTGGGGAATTTGTGATCCTTCTGGCTCAGTCTCCTGAGGGTTGGAATTACAAGCATTCACTATCACAAAGCTTTTTTTTAAAAAATAATATTTTCTATATATTTTAGTGTGTGTGTGTGTGTGTGTGTGTGTGTATACCTGCATATCCACAGATTACAGAAGAGAGTGCCAGATACCTTAGAACTGGAGTTACAGGCAGTTATGAGCTGTCCAACATGAGTGCTGGAAAACAAATTCAGGTCTTCTGGAAGAGCAGTACGCTCTCTTAACCACTGAACCATCCCTCTAACCACAACTTTGTTGTCTGAATAAAGATCTCCAGCGGATCTTTTTAGTCCCACTGTTTTTTTGTTTTTTCAAACAAGGTGTTACTATAAAGCTCTAGCTGATATGTGCCTCACTACATAGACCAGGCTGGCCTCTAACTCACAGAAACCTGCCTGCCTCTGCCTCTTCCGTGCTGGGGTTAAAAGTGTGTGCCACCAAGCTCTGCAAGTCCTACTTTCTAATCTCTATGAAATTCAAAGTCAGTGAGGGTGACAGAAACTGGGATAGTGGTGGGATTGACTGGTGAAAGCAAGATAAAAATAGAGTAGAAATTCCTCTTGGAAAGGTTCAGTGCATTAGCTACTTATCTCATTGCTGTGTCCAAATAATCGAGGATAACAGTTTAAGAAAGGAAGAGTTTGTTTTGGCTCATGGTTTGATGGGATGAACTCCACAAAGGGGCAAGGCATGGCAGCAGGAGTGTGGTGTGGCTGCTCACCTGCATCTCAATCAGGAGACGGGGGAATGCTGGTGCCTAGCTTGCTTTTCCCCTTTTTATTTGGTTGGGACCCTGGCCTGTGTGACAGTACCACTGCTTTCAGAGTGGGGCTTCCTTCTTCAGCTAAACCTCTCTGGAATTATTCTCATGGACACGCCCATAGATGTGTTTCCTGGGTGGTTTTTATTTTACTTTTGTGTTCAGGGTGTTTTGCCCACTGGAGGCCAGAAGAGGGTGCTGGGTCCCCTGGGGGCAGCCACGCAGGTGCTGAGGCTTGAACCCTCGGAAGAGCCGTTGCTGCAGCTCCTCCTGGTGACTCCTAATCTAGTCAATAATGGTGAAGATTACTGTCACACTGAAGGCCTAGCAAACTAAATGTCTCAGTCACCGATTAAGGCAGGCACTCTAAACTGGGAAAGGAGGTTCCGTACAACATTTAAATTAGCTAAATGTCATCTAATAAGCTTTGCTCTGCTTCCGTTACTCCTCTTGCTCTCTAGAGTGCTGTTAGTCTGAGTGTCTGCTGGATTCTGTCTTTCCAGATTTATGAAGCAGCAGTCTGCCTTCACACATGACTCAGTACCGCTGAACATAAAAGAGGAAGTAGTTCTAAAAACCAAACTTGAGATAAACAAGGAATATGAAGGAGTTGTTCATACTAGAAAGTGTGCCTGAAAGAGTTAGAGTAAGGAATGAGATGTCTCACACCTTCATCAGTAATGCATGTTTTAGATAAGAAGGCCTTGTTTGGAATCACACAGTTCTTAAAGTACCCTCTAAACAATTTGCATAAATTTATCATAAAACATATGAATTTAAAATGATAGATTCTGAAAGTGTAAACAAATAGAGTAGTCCAAAAGTAAAATGAACTTGATGTATTTAAGGAACAAAATAAAAGCGAACATGACTGAGTCCTCAGTCAGAGGAGAGGGCAGGAAAATAGATGGAAGCGGTTAGGCTAGGTCAAGTCAGACAGCTAGGAGAATTCAGCCACAGAAATAATGTTGACACTTCATCCAAATGCATCCGAAGTTCTAGGCAGAGACATAAACTGTTACTATATAGGCTAGGTACAGAAACAGTGAGCTTTATTTTTAAGACAGAAATGCTCAGCGTGTTATAGCTTCATGAACATTCCTATCTTGAATTATGTCACCTTTGTTTACAATTCAGGTATGAGTATGTTTTCCTGTTGATGTTTGCCATGTAAAGAAATGAATATTAAGGAGTTGTAAATACTAGAGGTTGTCTTTAAAAAAATTACACTTATTTATTTGTGTATGTAAGTGTGAGTGTTTACACACACGCCACACTGCGTATGTGGAGGTCAGAGGACAGCTTGATGGAGCTGGTTCTCTCCTACTGTGTGGGTCGCAGGCGTCAGACTGAAGTCGCCAGGCTTGGCAGTGAGCCCCTTTCACCACCGAGGTGACTGTGTCTTAAGAGTGAGTGTGAGAATTTCCCAAGAAGAGATGAAAATTTGGGTAAGAAATAGGTGTGTCATACTTTACATGAGTCATTATATAGCCCAGGAAGACTGTGTTTCTTTTAATATATATGTATGTATTAGAAGTCTGAATCTTAAAAATAAGCTAGTTAGTTTTATGTTCCTATAACAAGACATTGGAAGCTGGGGGCTTTTAAAGGAAAGTGGTAATTTATCTTGCATTTCTGGACATTCAAGAGTGTGGCATTGCCATCCAGTTCTCACTAGTGAGGGTCTTGTGGTGGGTGGCATCAAAATGGCACGATGTTCATGTGGACAAGGTACATGGAAAGACAGGAATCAAAAGGCTGGGGGAGATGCCTGGGTTTTTCTTTATGCAATAACCCATTTTTTTTTATTTAATCTGCTCACTTTGTTCAGCCCCAAGCAGTTCCAAAACATTAGCATTAATCCATTTAGGAGGGTAGAACCCCCAGTGACCTGATTACCTTCCAGTAGGACCTACTTCTAAATCTTCCACCTGCTTATCCCTGCCACACTGAGGGAAAAGAACTTGAGCACACAGTCCTTTGGAGGACACACTCAACAGCACACAAACTGCAGCGTTAGATATTTGACTGTTTTAAGGGTTAATTAATGATGGATTGTTGCGGCCCTCAGGATTGGTACTAGGGTCTTACATGTGCTCTACCACCAAGTGCGTACCCAGCTAAAAGGGTTTTTATTAGTGTAGTTGCTTACGTTTTGATTCCATCTAAAATGGCTTAAAATTACTCTTTGGTTAATTTTCCACAGGCATATCATTGTCAAATACCATGGTAAATGCAGGTTTGACTTCTTTTAAAAAAATAGAAGAAGCAAATGCAAGAGAAATTGAACTGGTATGTAGTATTCTCTGTCCCCAATGTTACTGAATTCTATTTGAATTCCAAACCCCACTGTGTATGTCTTCATTTCTATTAAAACTGTTTGGATGTGGGAGGCGGCTCTGTCGGTAAAGTCCATGTCACACAAGCCTGTGACCCAAGTTCAGAGCTCAGCACCACATCAGAAACTGGACCTAGAAGCACACACCTATAACCCAGCACTTCGGAGGTGAGCGCAGGAAGATACATGACTTGCAGGTCATGTATTCTAGAGGAGTCAGTGGGCACCAGGTACGGTGAGGACCCCGTCTCCTGAAGACAAAGGTGGTGAGCAGTGAAGGAAGACAGCCAGTGGTGACAGTCAAAAGTATTTCAACTATAGATGCTTGGAGTGACAAACCTAATGAAATCTATAGATTCTAAGAAGTATTTCAATGAGAGTTTTTTAAGTGTTGTGTAAGTGTATAATGGTAAAATATGTTTAGATTTTAAGCAGACATCCGCCTTTCGGAACCCAGATAAAAGAAGCTGTGATGTATCTACCAAAGTATGAACTTGAAGTGGAGCAGGTGAGTATTCTCTTTCTTTTTCTTTTTTTTTTCTTTCTTTCTTTTTTTTTTTTTTTTTTTCCGGAGCTGAGGACCGAACCCAGGGCCTTGCATTTTCTAGGCATACGCTCTACCACTGAGCTAAATCCCCAGACCCCTTTCTTTCTTAAATAATCTGTCTTTTTAAAAGTAAAGCTTTCCATGACTACAACTGAAGCTGAGAATGAACAGTAAAATTATTTTAAAGCATTTCATACTTATTCTTTTTTTTTTAAGATTGCAAGATATAGTGATACCAAGGCGGAAATACTGGTGACCATTATATTAAGAAACTTTGAACAGCTGCAGACTAAAAGAACAGCACCAGACTCTCACTATGCTACCTTAATCATAGGTGATGCAGATAATCAAGTCGTTTTTAAGCACAAAATTATGTGAGTAATTATGAAATACCTATTTGATTTTATTTTTAAGTGTTTTGTACATGAAAATTTTATTATAAGATACAATAATTAGATCACCACATAATCAATTAAATTACAGTTCCCTGGTGTAATAATGGGGCAAGTTTTCCACTTGTCTGTTAAGGAGGGGTGATACTAACTCTGGGTGTGTTGCTTTAGGTCATTCTATTTAGAACTAGATGGAGATACTATAAAATCTGTCACCATTAAGAAACTTTGAACAGCTGCAAACTAAGAGATCAGCACCAGACTTGTAACAAGAGAACAGATGGCCTCTGGGGCCTTCCGATTTTTCTGTTTTCCTTCTTTTATGGCCTTACTACTCTTTGAATACAGTACTTTTTGAATATAGTACTCAATTCAGATTATACCCGCTATTATGGTGATATTTTATTTGTATTAAAATGTTATTTGTAGGTTAATAAATAAAGTTGCCCGGGGGTCAGAGCTATTAGCAAGCCATAGGAAAGCAGGGCAGTGGTGGCGTACTCTTGTAATCCCAGTACTTGGTAGGCAGAGCTGGGTAAGTCTCTGTGTGTTCAGGGATACAGCCATTATTGGATACACATGCCTTTAATCAATACCAATCATGGAAAACCTGGAGGCCTATACAGACAGGCCGTGACAAGGCGGTCATGTGGTTGGGTTTACAACCAATGAGAAGGCAGAACAGGAACTCTATATAAAGACTTTAACACAGGGGTAGCTCTGGTTCGGAGAGGTAGGACCACCGCAGGAGGAAGGGTAAGGTTTTAGCTCTTAGCTCTGACCTCTTGGCTTTCTTCTTTGCGTTGGTTCTGTGTTTCTTATTTAATAGGAAGGTTGGTTACATCTACACTCTATCTCCAAATTCTATCTCCAAATTAACATGTAAACAGTTACTGTAACTCCTTTGTAGGATACTGGCAGTCAGATCAACCATATAAGGAAGATATGTCTGTTCTCTAAAGTGCCTTTTATAAGTTTTACTTCAGTGTTTTCTAGATACTATTATTTTTTTTCCTCAAATGCCGTAAGTAAACTTTCAAGATACTAGTTTCTGTGATTGCTAGTTCTTTTTTAGTACTTAATACTCAAAATACTGAGTTACTTAATATTTGTATAAGATAGGTGCTACCATAATGTACATTTTGTAGAGGAGGAAATTGAAACAGGTCTTAGTCACATATGCCAATATCATGTAGCTAGTTGATAACAAAGGCTACATTGACCCTAACATCCTCAGGCCAGAGCCTGCATTCACTCTATTAATACAGTTTAGGAATGGCAGAGACTCTACAGCTGGAATCTGCTAATTGTCAGGATACAGGCGGATACAGGGAGATTTCTAAAGGAGCTGCAGCACCAGGATGCTCTTCTCACAGTCACTGCTCTCCTACAGCTAGTCCCGGCACACTTAGCAAGACACACCATTGTGCAAATCCATATTCCTGGGACTATGAGAATGAAATACGCTCAGTGATTTTTTTCTTGTCTGTGTCAGCATTGGACAGAAACTCTTTCACACTCAATTTAAAAGATTGTTGAAGTTGTTTCTCACAAAGAAATAGAACTTGTGCAAACCACATTAAAGTGGTATTGATTCAGAAACAACTCATGTCTTATTAATAATAATTGTATATTTCTGTTTGACTTCAAGTGAGTCAGTGCAGCTTGGGATCAACTACTGCTAAAATAATTAGCTCCATGTCATGTGTGGTAGCATATGCCATAATCTCAGGGCCTCAGTCAGGTGACGGCAAGAGGACCAGTAGTTCCAGTCATTCGTGGTTACAAAGTGGGTTTGAGGGGCAAACAAACAGAAGATCTCTGTGCACACTTCATTCTTTCTCCTCACAATCTGGTGAAAGTAGTTTTCAGTATTGTTTACTACTATTGAAGACCTATCTTAAGAAAAACTCATCCTTGAAATCAATATATTAGTTCATTTAGGGTTTGGATCATGTTAAATTATACATTACTGTTTTTCAGGGATTCTGTTTTGTTAAAAAGTGGAAATTGGGCTAAAAAAATTGATGTGAAGAGAGCTCTTACATCTGAAGATCTTAGCATAAATCTAATTAGTTCTGATTATGGTAAGTTAGTTGAAGTAATGAAGATATCAATACAAAAATGTGACAGCATTTAAAAATTATTTCCTTTATGCTAGCTGGTACAGAAAAATAATAAAAATAATATATTTATATGCGTAAACATTAAGGAAAATTTCATATATTTAGATAACATAATTCAATTTTGTTTGTTCACTAATAGACTTCTGTTTTCTAAGATAGTTAAATTTTAATTATAGAATTAAAAAATATTAAGATAGATATACACATGTTCATTTGTCATTATTTTAATCTTTTCAAAAATATTTGAATTTCCCATACTTCTTAGCTCTAGTGCCATAAGATATATAAAATGAAATAAATAGCCTCATGTAAAGACTGAATATGATTTTAATAAGCATTTGCATACATATTTTTCTCTTTCCAGTTGGTCTTGATATTCAGCAGAAATTTACAGTCTTTTATTTAGGACCCAGGAGGTTTGTCAATCAAACAGTTATGCACGGAAGATTAGAAACAGATATTTCTCGTTCTAAACTCTCAGATCGAGCTGCTATAGCAGGATCCAGTAAAGGTAAATAGCACTATTAATCTCTGCTTTCTATAAAACATCAGCATGGCCTAGGAGGAGTGTTACTACAGGATGACCTCACTCAAATTGTTGGTCTCTGGAATGAAATATTTAGGTTTCATTTAATAATAACATACTATACTAATAATATGTAGTAGGAATTATCTCTGATGCTTAATATTTTTTAAGTTGGTATATTAGTTGGGCAACAAATTATTTGATTGGTTTTTACATGCATTATTCCTTTTCATATGTACTTCACTTTTAGGACCATTCTCTGGGGAGGATGGTGAGGTGTGGGAATCCACATTCTTGATGAAGCAGACCAGAGTGAAAGTGGATCTAAGTTTTTATTGTGATTAATTTTTTTTTTTTTTTTTTGGTTTTTTTTTCGAGACAGGGTTTCTCTGTGTAGCTTTGCGCCTTTTCCTGGAACTCACTCTGTAGCCCAGGCTGGCCTCGAACTCACAGAGATCCGCCTGGCTCTGCCTCCCGAGTGCTGGGATTAAAGGCGTGCGCCACCACCGCCCGGCTATTGTGATTAATTTTAAACATACACAGAAATGTGAAAAGAATTCCTAGATACTCACTAGCCACCTTAAACAAGAATGAACTTGTAGATGTATCCAACCTTCCCATCAAACAATAAACACAGAACCAATGCAAAGAAGAAAGCCAAGAGGTCAGAGCCAAGAGCCAAAACCTTACCCTTCCTCCTGCAGTGGTCCTACCTCTCCGCAACCAGAGCTACCCCTGTGTTAAAGTCTTTATATAGAGTTCCTGTCCTGCCTTCTCATTGGTTGTAAACCCAACCACATGACCGCCTCCTCACAGCCTGTCTGTATAGGCCTCCAGGTTTTCCATGATTGGTATTAAGATTAAAGGCATGTGTATCCAATAATGGCTGTATCCCTGAACACACAGAGACTTACCCAGCTCTGCCTACTAAGTGCTGGAATTACAAGCGTACGCTACCACTGCCCTGCTTTCCTATGGCTTGCTAATAGCTCTGACCCCCGGGCAACTTTATTTATTAACATACAAATAACATTTTAATACAAATAAAATATCACCATATTTCCCCTTTTCTATTTTAATAAAAAGGAAAAAAAAAGAAAAAGCTTATAACTAATATAAGAAAAACTATATACAAAAGGACAATAACTATATACAATATATACAAGTAATAAATACCTAAACAATGTCTAGTCCATTTGTATTTGACAAATTCAGAGAAAATAATTTCATTATCTATCCTATTTTGGTAAGTCCAAAATGTATCCTAATTAATCTTCAACTATAACTAACTAACCTTCAACTATAACTAACTAATCTTCAACTCCCTCAGAGACCCAAGAAGGAAATAATATTAGCTAACAAAAATAAAAACAGGAAGTGCACATAAGCAACCTCCAAAAAATTTGTGAGTTGACAGAAACAGACAGCTGTCTGGACAGTCACCTGAGGTTTCTCCGAAGTGCTGGGGCATCATCTTCAGCCTATAGGCCCAGCATATCCGACAGACTCATTTGTGAAGCAGGTTGTACACAAGGTCAACAGTTCAACCTCACATTGAGTGAGAGTAGTCCATGTACCAGAAACACCTGAATTCCACTAGTGTCATGTCATGATTCAGGATTTCAAATTCTGGAAATTGCTGATGGTTTTCCAACTCAGCTGTCCATTCTTCCTGGCTGTGTATATATGGCTTCATCTCAGCATCCCATTCTTCTCCATATCCCTCCATCAAATGCCAGTCTACTATTGAGAGGCGTGAGCTTAGTTACTCTTCAAGAATAACTGTTTCAGCTGCTGTTCCATTGCACATCAGAGGCCATCGGCCCACTGCCTGTTCAGCTGCCTTCGAAGAAAAGGGCACTGTACCTTTTTCGAATTGCGAAGGCCACTTCAGGGATGGTGCCATATTGTCCTGGCCTCTGAAGATGCCTTTTGATAAAGCCATAACCACACTTGTTTTGGCAAGAATCAGTAATCCTTTGTTTTATGTCCTGTTTGTCCATTTTGTCCTGTTGATTCGAGGATACTTTGTTGTCCAGTGGCTAACTTTTGCCACAATGAAAGTTAACTCCATATGCAGTTTCTTCAATGCCCATATTTTCTGTGAAGTAGATTGGTACTGCCAGGAGTTGACATGTCTCATAGTCATAACAAAAAAGAAAAATTTTCTAAGTTATTAAAACATTTTAAATGCCATATTCTGTAGATCTCTGAAGGGTTTGAAGATAACCTGTCTATCTAAAATATGTCTACTCAATCTTGAAAACATACCTAATATAACTACAAGTTCTATTATAATATCTAACTACTAACTTTCATTTCTTTATATCCTAATAGTTGGTAATAACATTCAAGGATCAGAAAATTGCATTACATTGTTAGATGAACGGTACAATTAGAAAAATATATATAACATTTGCTAACAATATCAATTTCAATATATATAATTTGTATACAATATAAAACAATCCAATCCAATGTAAAGTATTTACATTTTTCTTTTCTTTCTTTCTTTTTTTTTTTTAATAAGAACCTTAAATCTAATCTCCTTTGCTTAGCCTTTTTCCTAACCCTTGACAACAACTTGTAACCAACCCCCCTAATCAATGAAAATTATCCCAGACCCAAAACCCATTAAAAGACCAAAAAAACCAACCGCCCCACACCACCTCTTTGGGAATGTGGGCGTCGTATTCTTGAAATTGCTTCCTGCTGGGTATGGGCGAAGGTATCTTTATCCTGAAAGAAAAATTTTAGGTTAATTGTCAAATTCTAGGAAAGGTAAATATATCCTTCGTTATCCAGTCTGTGTATAATGCCAAAATTCAGGGTTTATCTCAAATCCTTATTCAAGTAGTCTTTGAGATTGGATCATCTCAGCTAGCTCTTCTCAAAATTGCTCTGAGCACTTTGTAGTTCAAAGCTGATCTGTAGATGATGTTTGTCAGCTTAGTGATGTTATTATTGTCCACGTGGAATTGTTGTTGTTGTGGGGCCCCATCTTCTTCCTGGAGACTTCAGTTGATGTTAGGCCTAACCGTGATTTCCTGCAAAAAACTGATAAGAGACTCGAACACAAAGACTATATATGCGACTTTTTAGAATTAGTTAGTACTCTATATGACCATTTATATCTTAACAAAGTTTAAAATGTATATATATCTATATATATTGATCTTGTAAATTTTGATATAAAATTCATACTTTAAGAAAAGTTTAAAGAATCAGAATAGAATCAAAGAGTTGAGATTCGTAATAGAATAGTCCCTTAATTAATTTGGCTTTTCTCCTGTCCCATAGCAGAAGATGGCTCTTTTCCTCTGGCATGATACAGGGAGTTTGCATTTTCCTTTTAACAACATGCTTGAGTTTAAAGAAGGAGAGAGCCATTCTCCAACTCCAAAGTCAGCTTTAAATTTTAATTGAACTGGGACTATTAGAAGTTAAATAGTGTTAAATCTTTAAAGAAAAGCAGAAACAAACATTTAGGAAGACATAAAATTTTTTTAGATAACATACCCATACGCCATTTCACTCTGTTTCTTAGGATAGATGATTTGTTCCTTTTCTTCAGTTGTCTCATTTGTCCAGTGTTCTTCAAATTCGTTAACCTTCATTCTCCTAAAAGACAAAAACAAAAACCTTTCCCCAAGGTTTTTTGGGGATGTTCCTTTTTGACAAGTTATCTGATTAAATGAAAAGGCATGTGTTACTGGTGTAAGTTAGTTTAAATTGGATGTTTACGATAGTTGATGAACTATCACCTCCTCTAATTAAGAGGTCTCTCTTGTTCAAATCGAACCTTTATCAATTTTGATGGTACCCACAGCTTGTCTTCTCCTGTAGAAATAAAAGCAAAACCTCGTCCCCAACGTAACACATACCCTGGTTTCCATTCTGAGGTCAGCACATCCTTAAAGTATATAGGTTGATTTAATTCTGTAGTTTTTTCTATTATCCAATGTCTCTCTGCAGCTGTTGTTCCTTTCTCATTGGCATTGAGAAAATTCAAAGTTAATAGAGCATTATGTAGTCTATTTCTGGGGGTTTTTGTTACTCCTTTTTGTTTGTTTAGCATATCCTTTAGAGTTCTGTTTGATCTTTCTATAACTGCTTGACCTGTAGGATTATGTGGTATACCTGTAACATGGTTTATATTATAATAAGCAAAAAACTGTTTCATTTTAACAGAGACATATGATGGAGCATTATCAGTTTTGATTTGTGCAGGTATACCCATAATGGCCATAACTTCTAGCAAATGAGTGATTACAGAATCAGCTTTTTCAGAACTCAAAGCAGTTGCCCATTGAAATCCTGAATAAGTATCGATAGTGTGGTGTACATATTTCAGTTTTCCAAATTCTGCAAAGTGAAACACGTCCATCTGCCAGATTTCATTCCTCTGAGTACCCTTTGGGTTACATCCTGCTGGTAATGGTGTTTGATTGTAGAAGGAACAAGTAGGACATTTCTTTACTATTTCTTTGGCTTGTTGCCAGGTTATGGAAAAATCCTTTTTTAAACCTTTACTATTTACATGATGTTTTTTATGAAATTCTGAGGCCTCCAGCACATTTCCTATCAATAATTTATCAATCTCATCATTGCCTTGTGCTAGAGGGCCTGGCAGACCAGTATGGGATCGGATATGAGTTATATATAAAGGATGACTCCGTTTTCTGATTGTATCTTGTAATTGAATAAATAATGAAGTTAATTCTGAAGCATCGTGGATAAATTCTGCAGTCTCAATATGTAATACTACTCTTTCAGCATACTGAGAGTCAGTTACTATATTGAGAGGTTCTGAAAAATCCATTAATACCAACAGAATAGCATACAATTCTGATTTTTGAACTGAATTATAAGGACTTTGAACCACTTTACTTAAATTTTCTGATTTGTAACCTGCCTTTCCTTGTTTGTTGGCATCTGTATAAAATGTACGAACTCCAGATATGGGTTTTTTCCTCACAATTTGA